TATACTTAAATAATCCCAATATCGAAGGCTGCTATGTGAAAAGGTGTTACAATCATGCTACTATCATTATATTCGGCACAAACCTTTGTTCTATGCTACTTTTGGATACATTATATAGATTATATGTCTTTAATAACCCTACTTTCGGTAAAATCCAATATGGCGGACATTGTACTAAAATAAGCGTACTTTTAGGGAGGGTAATTGAAATGTGTTTTAATGTATTGCTACTGTCATTATATTGTGCAGTAATATTTCTTTGGTGCTTCTCATGGATACAATCTATATGACATATGCCTTAAAAATCCCTACTTCCGGTAATATCCTATATGGCGGACATAGAAATATCAATTTTTAATTCTAATATTCAACTTTTTCAAAATGTAAAACAAGTGGGTATTTTTTTGCCGGTCATTAAACTTTTGGCTTAAAGTTATGTTTAAAATGTTTTAATACAAAGTTAATACTTCCGGTAAAAACAATTTGGCGTAAATTTCAGAGATGAGTACTCAATCTGTATCCTCGATGTAAAGTTTTGGATAGATTGAATAAAAAAAAAAATAAAGTCACTAAAGTACTAAACATCTTGAAAATTACTAATACATATGTTTATGGCCGCAAATGCATGTCTATTCAAAATCACCACCACAAGCACATACTAGTAAAGCAGTGCACGGGAGACCCGATTTTTCACATTTACAACGACCGCGGCATCGTTTCTTACATCCAAAATGTACAAGCTCCTGGGGACAAGATAGCGAGGCCTCATAAAGAGCTGTCCAAAAGGGTTCCCATTGATCATCTTTGTCCCTTCGCCATCCATAAGCCCCTGGACTAGGTAACATAGGAACAAATTCCAAACTATATCTCAATACACACCCGCCTTGGTATATATAGCACGTTTTACATGCTGGAAAAGACTAGAGACCGAGTCGGCGGAATAGCCTTAATTAGTCTTCCCTTTTGCGCAAACAGTGGTTTTCTTGCTTCGTTAACCCCATCTGATGAGTTTGTTCGATCGTACATCAAAACCACGTATCGTTCTATCAATAACATTATCAAATCTATATTTGGTTATGTAGGCTGACCATTCTAAATGCTAAAATCACATCTTCAAATGTCATCCATGTCTCCCACGTAGTCTTTTTTCCTTTTCCAGCAAACGAAGATACCGCATCAATTACGATACCACAACACAACCGGTAAAGGCATGGTTCACAGGAAGTGTGTGTGGTCACTCAATGCCTAGTGCATTTAAAAGGTCATAGATACATATATATCTAAAGCTTTTCCACTCCCAAACGCAAGCCATAGTTCGTCTGTCCCTATGTCACGGAATAGCGAAACAGCAATGACAGCAACATCAGTATCGACTGTTCGAATCATGACTCGTTTAAGTCCGTGTTTTACTGCATCAGACACATGCACCATGATTCTAGTGTCAGACTCTTCATGTTAACATGGTGCTAAACTTGAAAAACCATCACGTGGTGGGTAACATAGAACATCCTGAGCATTTGTTGCTACAACTACCTTTTCCTCAAAATTTTGTTTAGCATGCTGCTGTGAAAGAAAACTAAAAAGTTCTTTCTTATTGTCGTCATCTCTCAGAAAACTTTGCAAATTTTGAGGAAATTTGTTTTGACCCTGGACTCGTCTGCGTGTTCCCTTCCCCTCTTGCTTCTTGTAGTAGCCTTCACATTGTTGTCTATGTAAGCACACCAGACTGCACCAACTTTTGTTTCAGTTTTCCTAATGTAAGGACAGAATACCAAATCAGCATAATCGCCAAAGGTATGATATGTTAATGGTTTAAGCATGTTCACAATTGCTGCTCCGTAAATAACTAAAACATCCAACTCAGGAACTTCACCTGTCGTTGTTGTCAATGGTTCTAAATACTTACTGAGAAGATCCAATTCGGTTCCGAGTCGCATTTTCCCATTCTGGCTCAATGATGGCGGATATATATTATTTTCATGAGCAAAGAAGTCTTCCAAGTCGCCACCTCTGGTCTGACAAGATATATAGAGTCTTGAAATTAACGACACATCACTTTTCAGTATGCTTATTTTGTTCTTCATTGCCGAAACAGTCTTCCCATTAGGAGTTCGTTCTAAGTAATGCCATTCCATTTTTCTTGATTGGATCTTCTCAGTAAGTGTTTAGAACCATTGACAACAGCGACAGGTGATTTTCCTGAGGTGGATATTTTAGTAATTGACAGAGCAGCAATTGTGAATATGCCTAAACCATCAACATCTCATACCTTTGATGATTATGCTAATTTGGTATTCTGTCCTTACATTAGGAAACACCTGGAAAGTGCAACAAGTGTGGATGTAGTCTGGGATGCGTACATAGACAATAGTTTGAAGGCTGCTACAAGAAGCAAGAGGGGAAAGGGAATACGCAGATAAGTCCAGGGTCAAAACAAAATTCCTCAAAATTTTGAGGAAAAGGTTGTTGTAGCAACCAATGCTCAGGATGTTCTATGTTATCCACCACGTGATGATGTTTCAATTTGAGCACCATGATTCATTGGTCAATGTTATTTTTTTTGTGTGCGTTTTTGACTGTGCAATCTGGGACTATTATACTAATATAATTAGTATAATACTAGTCCCAGAAGCAATAGATCATTTATATTTGGTGTAAGGAATGATTGTAAGGTGTACATGTCTGTCTGGCAGGTTTCATATGACCTTGACTTTTTTCGTGTTTCATTGGACAATGTTAAGTTTTTCTGGTTTGGTCTATATCCGTCTGTCTGTGCCTATAAAAATAAGAAGGTGTGGTATAATTGCCAATGAGACAACTCTCCACAAGAGACCAAATGACATAGAAGTCAACCTTCTGTACTGTAAAACATAGGTTAACCAAACCTGTTATGCAGTTGCATGTGTCACATACCAAAGTCAGGTTCCTCTGACCTTTGGCCACTATTAAAGTAAAACCTTGTTCAATTGGTGTGTATGTGTGTCACATATCAAAGTCATGACACTCTGACCTTTGACCACTATGATAGTAAAACCTTGTCAAATTCGTGGGGATGTCTCACATACCAAGTCAGGTGACCTTTGCCCCTTAGTTCATTTTGTGTCTGGCTTATATCTTTTGTACCGTAAAACTTAAGTTAACCAAACTAGGTATGTAGTAGCTTAGGCTTGGGGTGGGTCATATACCAAAGTCAGGTTACAGGTCAACCAAGATCGTAAAAACTTCTGATTTGTGTCCTGTGCAAAGCTTTTGTGCCATAGAATTTAGGTTGACTAATGGTATGCGGTTATATAATGGGACAGGTGTGTGTCATATATCAATGGTAGGTCATTCTAACCCTGAGTTACACCTTTGACCCCTATGATAATAAAACATTGTTCGATCTGTTTTGGGGGAATCTCTTAGATTGACACAACTTTGTTTTCAGAAGCATCATACTGACCTTGACTTTGACCTTTGATTTATGAATTTATAGTTTACAAACCTGTATTTCTTTATTCCTCGGTCAGTATAACTCTTTCAGATTGACCTATCAGTAACCATGTGTCAACCTAGCACAGAGGCCAAGATTATATAAAATGAATGGCTGAAAACCTAAAATCTCAAAATGTCATCGTCTCAATACTGATTTTCACAGCAGCAACTAACAAAATGCATGTACGAGGGATATTAGTCACACTATGCAAACAGCTCGTTTGAATGAAGTTTCATTTGTAGGCACTTTAAGCCTCCAAAGTGCCATGCTGTTTTCGACAACTTAGAGGAACATATATGTCAATAGTTTGTATAGATACAAGCTGTGTGATGCAGGCTTATATAAACAGAGAACAACTCTACACAATATTTTTGATGGCCTTCTTTGACTGTTCTATGGGTAGAATAATCTTAAGAGGGTTTAGAGGGTTATCTTAAGAACATTCTAAGTAAAGTTTTTATATGATTTCAACAGAAATTATAACGAAACTAACTCAATTAAGCTTGTAATTTGTATCTATTGAAAATAAGGAGGAGGGTAAGAGGTATGCTTTTTATGAAATATTTGTAGAATGAATTGACTTTTATTTCCAGCCCCTACAACACAGGATCATGTATATCAATAGATTAATTTTTTGCTTTTCACATCTGAAAATATCCAATAATTTACTTAATAGATTAAGATAATTTACACCCAAATATTGAATTTGTTGCATTTTTGGATTCTTAGTCCATCAAATTATTTTCTAAAGTAATATTTATTAGGTAATTTTGAAATTAGAGGCATCAGTAGTATACCAATGTTCAAATGTCATACATTCATTAAGAATATACATATCAAGGTTAAAAAAAAGAAAAATAAGAAAAAACACTGATATAGAAAAACATATATTTTCATTCAGTTCAAAACAATGTGACATGACAAACATACTGTATCCCTTTCTAACAATACACATCAACAAACATTCTCGTGAACACATGAAAATGACTGCAACATTAAAACCTATAAATTCATTGCCATGAAAAATATCATTACGAAAAAATAATCATAGTATCATAAATAATTATATTCTATCAAATAGATAATTCAAATCTCACTTAGAGAATGGAAACTAATAAAAATTCAGCAATTTTTCCATTTGTAAAGGGCTAACTCTTTAACGTTAAAAGTGACGCCACCAAAATTCAAATTTGATCTGTGTTTTGTGGTAATAAGCATTGTGTATAAGATTCATAACATTTGGTTGAGGCAAACTTAAGTTATAGAACAGAAATGAAAAATTCATCAGCAATTTTTCCATTAGTAAAGGGGCATAACTCTAGAAAGGTAAAAATGACACCACCCAAATTCAAATGTGATCTTTGTTTTGTGGTAATAAGCATTGTGTACAAACTTCATGCGGGGGCATAAAAATCCCTGTCATTAATTTTTTAGCTATTTCTATACAATTAACTGAATTTAACAAATTCTTATTTTTTATATACTATATCTCATAGTTATGATATTGTCTTTAAAATTCTGAACAAAACCATAAAAAAGAAATTGAACAGAAATAAAACATGTGATATGGTGAGAATATAATTGGATGATAACTCTTTTAAATTACAACCTATCTCTATAATAAATTACATATTAATTATTTACAAATCATACTGAATAGCACCTTCTAGTAGAGTTTGACATTTAAGAACACAACATCTAGTAAAACAAACATGTTACAATCATTATATCTTTGATATAGGGTTATACAAGATGTGTAGGACCTAGCATAGGACTTCTGGATATACCTGTTGTGTAGGGATGAAGTAAAACTAGGCATCATCAAATTAGACAATTTCTAATAAAACCTTCTTAATCTTGCTGATAAAAACTGACTTAAGGATCTATAAGTGGAAAAAGATAAAATGCAATTATGATCTAAATCAATGTGTACATTGAATTCTAAATAGAAAGAGATATGAAAGAACACAAATGAAGTCTTAATTTCCAATTAATTTCTTATAATTAATGATTCTTTCACACACATACATACACACACACAAATCTTTAGAAAAAATATCAAGGAAATCCTAGAACAAAAACGAAGTAATTCAAATGTCTAATTGCCAAGATTTTGAAAATCACAGTTTTTTTTTTTTACAGAATTCTACATTATTATCAAATGACAGTGAACAAGTACACATCACAATTACTTTTAATATCAAACTTAAACAACAAATACATTTCCCAATAAGTAAATTGTAAAACATTATGATGTAGCTAAAACTTTTTTACATGCATATAAATTATCTTCATAGATGAACAATGTCACATACTTAAAGTCATATGAAACAAATTTCTTAAAATTTCAATGTTATCGAAATTATTGAACCAATGCCTGCATATATACTAAACTAAGTCTTGCATGCACATTTTTTATATTTATTGCACATCTATAACATATTATCGACAAATAATATTTCAGTCAGTGGTTGTTGATCGCAAGCTTTTAAACTTTCGAGTTTGTTGCCGAAGTTCAACGGATCGGGACATTGATAAACAATAAAAACAGAGCACGAAGAAAACGTGACAGATAAGTGAATTGAAAGAGCCATGACATTTGTTTTTGTAGTTTCAATGCGTTCCCATTTGTTAATTAAACTATTCCTTAACAGTTGTTAAATGATTTGTTGTATTAAATTTGTTCTTTTAAGAATCTGTTATTACTATTTACCTACGTTTGTTTACATTCTTTCATCACGATTTTCCCCTCGCACTTGCACTGGTCGAAGTTATAACAAGAGGTCTCATAGTTAAGGTTACTGCATACGTGAAAAAATATCGGCGAATTAGTGCCTGGGAAGTCAATACTTCAATATTGGTACATTTATGAAGATTTTGATAAAGTAAAGGATTTTCTTTTTAAAAAAAAATCACGTTCACTTTTTTTAGAGTCAAACTTAGCCATTCAAGTATATAAAACATATTCAACTTTTTTTTAAATTTGAAGTTTCATATGACTTTAATATTCCCATATGTCATATTCTAAAAAGACAGTCAAATAGAAACATTCAAGCTTTCAATTTCATAATAGCCCGATTCATGTATAATTTAATTAAGTAGACTTTATTGAAAGAACTTTTTAAGCTATTATATCTGCTTTAAAAAATATTTAAATGGTTCAATATTATGTCATACAGAATTTATCTTACAATTCTTTTAACAATTTTTAAAAATGCTTTTAAATGAAGCACTCTTTTTTTCATTTTTTCTCCCCATAATTGACTGATTCTTATATCACTGTTATTAAAAAGGTACGAGTAATTCAAAGATTTGATCGTATTTATCAGCATAAAAATGCCCATAGGGTGCGTACATAATAAAAAGATAATTGAGGCAAATGTCCACGATTCAACCCAAAAACGCAAAAAAGAAGACAATAATTTTTCAAGGCTTTCACCAGTCTAAAAGAGTACTTTGCATAGGAGCAAAATTGAACTGTTAAAAAAAATATTTTGGAATTTTTAATTGTGTTTCTTTCAATATTATACTGCATCAAATTATGCTCATCTCTACTGTATACAGTTAAAGTATTTAAAACCAAGTATTAAGTAGAAAAACAAATAATAACAAATCTATTTCCACCCTTTTCTCTTCATATTAACCTCACTTTAATGTACTAAGAAGATTGTTGTCTTTCTAACTGACACATTATATAAATAATCACATCATTTTCTATATGTAAACATTAAACACATGGACCTAATTACCATATTTGTATTTTTTTGGATTACTGTTTCAGTACAATTCTAAACTTTGAAATATTAGACTACTGTTAAGAAGCTTGTATAACTTTGATGAAATTCTTCATTGTCTCTACTGACTGTTGGGTTAATCTATGTCTTTCTAGCAATTCTTCTTTTCTTTGTCGTTGTTGCTGAAAAAATATAAATAAAAAAAGTTTGATACAGAAAAACAATTAAAATAAAAGGCAAAAAGAAACACTTTCGAGTTCAATCCATTCTAATAACAAGAAGATGTTAAAATCACAACAAACCAGATTTTTCTAACATTTGAAATGTCATTATTAAAGGAATCAAGTGTCATACGACTAACGGCAAAAGTGAAATTTGCTCACATCAATCTCTACCTCCATTTTGTCATGAAAACAAAATATTAAAATTCTAAAAAGGCTTTTTGATCAAGTGTCTCAAGTTTTGGATGAAACCAACCAAATGTGCCATTTTCTAATCCATGAAGGACCATAATTCCTGAACAGCAAAAGTGTAAATGGTCAAAATTGTACTTTACCTTCAGTTTGTTATGATATAGTGAAGGTAGTGCCTTTTTCATTAAAAGGAAACCTTACATGTATGTGCATACAGACTTTCTTGTATTTGAAATTATATTAGCTTCCTTTATATAAAAGTTCATATATTTTAATGTTATTCTTAACAGTATATACCTTAATCCTACCAATCTATCTGAAAGTGTTTATTTTGTGTAGTGAAATTTTTTTTAATCTATTGTGTTGTTTGGTTGCTGTCTCCAACGATATAAAGTTAAACCTGTATTAAGCAGTCACTCATGGGAAATATCAAAAGTGACTGCTTAAGAGAGGTGGCCTTTCAAATGAGGTTCCGAAAAAATTCTAATTGGCAAGTGGACAGGATCAGGGAAAATTGTTTTAGTGTTTTCAATCGGCAGAGTTATTGTTTGTGTGAGCAGACAAATAAAACTATGGTGGATTCCTGCTCTCTAAATTTGAAGAATACATTCAAAACAGTTGATATTAGTGGAGAAATAAATCGATGATATGGTTTTAAATGGAAACTGAAAGGAGTGGAACACAAGAAATACACCATTTCACCTTGTATTGTGGGATCTTGGTTGCAAACAGGTTTCAATTCTCATCTTGACCTCAATACTGAACATATTTATTTTTCGTCATGATCATATTATGGTTATTAAAACATGAAAATGACCCTTGTTAAAAGTTGAAATAACGATTTCGTGCAAAAATAAGGTGACCGCTGAATGCGTTAAACAGGTGACATCTGGAAAGAGTTAAATTATAAAGAGGAAACGCTTGATAGGGTCTGAAAGTGACTGTTAGAAGCAGTAAACCGCTGAAACCAGGTGACTGTTAAGGCAGTTTTGACTGTATACCCAATATATCCTTTTATGAACAATATACAAGTAGTAAGCAACAATATCCTGTACATGATCTTCATGTGTCAAACTATTTACTGTTCAATGTCATTCAGGGTTATTCCATTAAAATAAATGTGGGTGGGTAGAAAGAAAATACTTTTGGACATGGGTTGTTGGTCATTTATGGCTTATGTCTATTTGATGCCAACTTACTCAAAGTAAGTATGTTATTTGTGGGGGGATTTCAGAAGTCCATTCTTCTCTCTCTTGTTTGTGGGGGGATTTCAGAAGTCCATTCTTCTGTCTCTTGTTTGTGGGGGGATTTCAGAAGTCCATACTTCTCTCTCTTGTTTGTGGGGGGATTTCAGAAGTCCATTCTTGTGTCTCTTGTTTGTGGGGGGATTTCAGAAGTCCATTCTTCTGTCTCTTGTTTGTGGGAGGATTTCAGAAGTCCATTCTTCTGTCTCTTGCTTGTGAGGGGATTTCAGAAGTCCATTCTTCTCTCTCTTGTTTGTGGGGGGATTTCAGAAGTCCATTCTTCAGTCTCTTGTTTGTGGTGGGATTTCAGAAGTCCATACTTCTCTCTCTTGTTTGTGGGGGGATTTCAGAAGTCCATTCTTCTGTCTCTTGTTTGTGGGGGGATTTCAGAAGTCCATTCTTCTGTCTCTTGTTTGTGGGAGGATTTCAGAAGTCCATTCTTCTGTCTCTTGCTTGTGAGGGGATTTCAGAAGTCCATTCTTCTCTCTCTTGTTTGCGGGGGGATTTCAGAAGTCCATTCTTCTCTCTCTTGTTTGTGGGGGAATTTCAGAAGTCCATTCTTCTCTCTCTTGTTTGTGGGGGGATTTCAGAAGTCCATTCTTCTCCATCTTGTTTGTGGGAGGATTTCAGAAGTCCATTCTTCTCCATCTTGTTTGTGGGAGGATTTCAGAAGTCAATTCTTCTGTCTCTTGTTTGTGGAGGAATTTCAGAAGTCCATTCTTCTGTCTCTTGTTTGTGGGGGGATTTCAGAAGTCCATTCTTCTCTCTCTTGTTTGTCGGGGGATTTCAGAAGTGCATTCTTCTCTCTCTTGTTTGTAGGGGGAATTTCAGAAGTCCATTCTTCTCTCTCTTGTTTGTGGAGGGATTTCAGAAGTCCATTCTTCTGTCTCTTGTTTGCGGGAGGATTTCAGAAGTGCATTCTTCTGTCTCTTGTTTGTGGGGGAATTTCAGAAGTCCATTTTTCTGTCTCTTGTTTGTGGGGGGATTTCAGAAGTCCATTCTTCTCTCTCTTGTTTGTGGGGGGATTTCAGAAGTCCATTCTTCTCTCTTTTGTTTGTCGGGAGATTTTAGAAGTCAATTCTTCTGTCTCTTGCTTGTGAGGGGATTTCAGAAGTGCATTCTTCTCTCTTTTGTTTGTCGGGAGATTTTAGAAGTCAGTTCTTCTGTCTCTTGCTTGTGAGGGGATTTCAGAAGTCCATTCTTCTCTCTCTTGTTTGTGGGGGGATTTCAGAAATCAATTCTTCTCTCTCTTGTTTGTGGGGGGATTTCAGAAGTCCATTCTTCTCTCTTTTGTTTGTCGGGAGATTTTAGAAGTCAATTCTTCTGTCTCTTGCTTGTGAGGGGATTTCAGAAGTGCATTCTTCTCTCTCTTGTTTGTGGGGGGATTTCAGAAATCCATTCTTCTCTCTCTTGTTTGTGTGGAAAAGGGGGGGGGGGGGGATTTAACAAGTCCATTCTTCTCTCTCTTGTTTGTGGGAGGATTTCAGAAGTCCATTCTTCTCTCTCTTGCTTGTAAGGGAATTTCAGAAGTGCATTCTTCTCTCTCTTGTTTGCAGGGGGATTTCAGAAGTCCATTCTTCTCTCTCTTGCTTGTAAGGGAATTTCAGAAGTGCATTCTTCTCTCTCTTGTTTGCGGGGGGATTTCAGAAATCCATTCTTCTCTCTCTTGTTTGTGGGGGGATTTCAGAAATCCATTCTCCTGTCTCTTGTTTGTGTGGAGGGGGGATTTAAGAAGTCCATTCTTCTCTCTCTTGTTTGTGTGAAAGGGGGATTTAATAAGTCCATTCTTCTCTCTCTTGCTTGTAAGGGAATTTCAGAAGTGCATTCTTCTCTCTCTTGTTTGCGGGGGGATTTCAGAAGTGCATTCTTCTCTCTCTTGTTTGTGGTTGGATTTCAGAAGTGCATTCTTCTCTCTCTTGTTTGTGGGGGGATTTCAGAAGTCCATTCTTCTCTCTCTTGTTTGTGGGGGGATTTCAGAAGTCCATTCTTCTGTCTCTTGTTTGTGGGAGGATTTCAGAAGTCCATTTTTCTCTCTCTTGTTTGTGGGGGGATTTCAGAAGTGCATTCTTCTCTCTCTTGTTTGTGGGGGAATTTCAGAAGTCCCCTGCATTCTTCTCTCTCTTGTTTGTGGGGGGATTTCAGAAGTCCATTCTTCTCTCTCTTGTTTGTGGGGGGATTTCAGAAGTCCATTCTTCTCTCTTTTGTTTGTCGGGAGATTTTAGAAGTCAGTTCTTCTGTCTCTTGCTTGTGAGGGGATTTCAGAAGTGCATTCTTCTCTCTCTTGTTTCTGGGGGGATTTCAGAAATCCATTCTTCTCTCTCTTGTTTGTGTGGAAAGGGGGGGGGGATTTAACAAGTCCATTCTTCTCTCTCTTGTTTGTGGGAGTATTTCAGAAGTCCATTCTTCTCTCTTTTGTTTGTTGGGGGATTTCAGAAGTCCATTCTTCTCTCTCTTGCTTGTAAGGGAATTTCAGAAGTGCATTCTGTCTCTTGCTTGTTTGCGGGGGGATTTCAGATATCCATTCTTCTCTCTCTTGTTTGTGGGGGGATTTCAGAAATCCATTCTTCTCTCTCTTGTTTGTGGGAGGATTTCAGAAATCCATTCTTCTCTCTCTTGTTTGTGTGGAGGTGGATTTAAGAAGTCCATTATTCTCTCTCTTGTTTGTGTGAAAGGGGGATTTAATAAGTCAATTCTTCTCTCTCTTGCTTGTAAGGGAATTTCAGAAGTGCATTCTTCTCTCTCTTGTTTGTGGGGGGATTTCAGAAGTCCATTTTTCTCTCTCTTGTTTGTGGGGGTATTTCAGAAGTCCATTCTTCTGTCTCTTGTTTGTGGGAGGATTTCAGAAGTCCATTTTTCTCTCTCTTGTTTGTGGGGGGATTTCAGAAGTGCATTCTTCTCTCTCTTGTTTGTGGGGGAATTTCAGAAGTCCATTCTTCTGTCTCTTGCTTGTGGGGGGATATCAGAAGTCCATTCTTCTCTCTCTTGCTTATGGGGTATCTCAGAAGTCCATTTTTCTCTCTCTTGTTTGTGGGGGATTTCAGAAGTCCATTCTTCTCTCTCTAATGTGTAGGGGGATTTCAGAAGTCCATACTTCTCTCTCTTGCTTGAAGGGGGGTTTCAGAAGTCCATTCTTCTCTCTCACATTTATTTTAATGGCATAGCCCTTATTGTTTGTGGGATAGTCATTTTTTTTTTATTTCATTGTGTAGATACACGCAATTTTAGTCATTAAGAAATTCATACTTCATGCTTCTTCAAGAGGAGCAAATGCCTGGCCAATAAAATCTTTAGTAATTGTTTTCTACTAACAAAAGATAAAAGACCTTATAAAGAGTTTATTTTAAAAATATATTTGTTACTCACCATAAGACTTTCATTGAGAGATTTAGTTTTATTATCAATCATCATTTTCTCAGCAAGTAAATCAGAACTTCTTCTTTGAAGTTTTCGTTTCTCTTCCTCTTTAGCTACAATATATAAACTTCAATATAGTTGTTTCTTTAATGAATGTCACTCCTTTTCTGTATCTGCAGTTGTTATTCAGATAATGCTATTGTTACTTTCTCATATAAAACGTATAGCACAAAATGTAAATTTTTAATATTTTTTTCACTATTGTCTGTTGACTAAATTGTTAAAAAATGTATATCCCATTGAAATGTATTATAAAACTAGAACAGTAAATGTGACACCACTAAAATTCAAACTTGTTCTGTATTTTGTGGTAGTAAGCACTGTGTATAAGTTTCATAACAATTGGTTAAGGCAAGCTAAAGTTAGATAGGGAAACGAAAAATTCAGCAATTTTTCCATTTGTAAAGGGGCATAACTCTAGAATGGTTAAAGTGACGCCACCAAAATTCAAACTGGTATGTTCAAAGACAGTTAATATCCTTAACGTAACATTCTTATATAATTTTGTATTCAATTGGTTATTTATTCCTATTTTTAGTACTAGGTAATATTTTAGGAGCACAAATTTGTAATAAGCTAAAACAGGGGAAGTAACTCCAAAATTAATTTTCAACACGTTTACTGTTTGCTTGTCGCTCACAAGTTGAGATGGACGGCGTTTCTGTGAAGGCATAGTTGTATTTTGATGACTTAAATTCTATTCTAAAGTCATGAAAGTCTTCATTTATACACTCTTCTTGGAGATCAAAAATGCTGACCCAAGCTAAAAACACTTGTTGACACATTCATCAAATTTATGACAAAAAGGTACATTGTCATAATTAAATTACCTAGTTATTAACACCTTTGAAGTCTTATCCACTGTAATTGATTGTAATGACATGATTAACCTGGGGGCATTCACCTGGTGTCATTTATGTAATTTAACTTTGTGATAAGAAATCGATGAAACAAAAGGCAATTTTACCAAAACGGCACAAGGGTTTTTGGGGAAAAGGCGTTAGGGCAGAAGGGCACGGATGGAGGCACCCAGGGCGCGGCTGAGGGCACCCAGGGCGCGGTGCCCTTCTATTTTGGGCTAACGAGACCACTGAACTTGATCTGTGTTTTGTGGAAATAAGCATTGTGTATAAGTTTCCTAAATTTTGGTTGATGCAAACTTAAGTTAGAGAATGGAAACCAACTTTGGGACGTACGGACGGACAAGGGCAAAACTTAATGCCCCCTCCACTACGGAGGGAACATAAAAAAGTATACAGATAATAACTGTGGCAGCAATTTTGTATAAAATTAACATTTTTCTTAGCCAATGATGTCTGATACTTCACTAAGATGTGGACATTTTCTTCACACAACTTTTCTAGTTTTGATATTGTTTTTTACTCAACAAAACAATAACATAAATATGTAATGTATATTGTTATATTGAACTTACAGTTTTGTTAGCAACTGAATTACATCCCATAATATGTTATTTGCTACTTACCAGTTTTGTTGGCAATGAAGTTGTGTACCATAGCAAGAGTTTCAGCAGACCAGGTACCAGATTTTCCATTGGCCTGTAATAATAATTATAGATATGAAAGTCTGTCCTGCAATTTACATTTGATTACATCTGTGATTGATTGTTGGTTGCTTAACATCCAGTGGCAAATATTTCATGCATGTTCATGACGATGGTTACATCTGTGTATTTTAATTGTGCTATTCATTTGAATATAAAAATTCACTACACATACATTTGGTATTAAACCTGTTTCAGGAAATATTAAAATTTATTTTTTCATCATCATGCTGTACAAACTTAACCAACATGTATCAGTAATTTCATATTAGGAACTCTTTCAGCTCATGACATCTTTAAGTAAATTGTTTTGCAAACTTTTTTTCTAAAATAAAACTAGAAAGATGTTTAATCATATCCTCCATATATACTACCTATGACCCCTGCCCTACCATGTTACAATTTAAGTCAAAGTTTTTAGTGATCTTTTTTTAATTAAATGGAATCACTATAATGACTATCTTGTGTAGCTGGCTGAAATTACCAAGATAGCTTGAGAGACCAAAACTGTTATTATAGATAATCATAAATCGAAAAATTCATCCTGTGTGAAAGAATTCTATTCCAATCCAAGTTTATTCTGTGTGAAAGAATTCTATTCCAATCCAAGTTTATTCTGTGTGAAAGAACTCTATTCCAATCCAAGTTTATCGTGTGTGAAAGAATTCTATTCCAATCCAAGTTTATTCTGTGTGAAAGAATTCTATTCCAATCCAAGTTTATCCTGTGTGAAAGAATTCTATTCCAATCCAAGTTTATCCTGTGTGAAAGAATTCTATTCCAATCCAAGTTTATCCTGTGTGAAAGAATTCTATTCCAATCCAAGTTTCTCCTGTGTGAAAGAATTCTATTCCAATCCAAGTTTATCCTGTGTGAAAGAATTCTATTCCAATCCAAGTTTCTCCCGTGTGAAAGAATTCTATTCCAATCCAAGTTTCTCCCGTGTGAAAGAATTCTATACCAATCCAAGTTTATCGTGTGTGAAAGAATTCTATTCCAATCCAAGTTTCTCCTGTGTGAAAGAATTCTATTCCAATCCAAGTTTCTCCTGTGTGAAAGAATTCTATTCCAATCCAAGTTTCTCCTGTGTGAAAGAATTCTATTCCAATCCAAGTTTATTCTGTGTGAAAGAATTCTATTCCAATCCAAGTTTCTCCTGTGTGAAAGAATTCTATTCCAATCCAAGTTTCTCCTGTGTGAAAGAATTCTATTCCAATCCAAGTTTATTCTGTGTGAAAGAATTCTATTCCAATCCAAGTTTCTCCTGTGTGAAAGAATTCTATTCCAATCCAAGTTTATCCTCATACTCACATGATATTCATGTGTAATAAACACTTTTTCAACGGTTTACACACAATGATTTTGTCACATGGCGTGTACACGCTTTTCGCCACTTTACATGCCATTACACGCTTTTTCCTTGTTTTGATTTTTTGGTCGTTAGTGATATCACAATTCTCGAGTTTTTCATAATTAGACGATAAATACTGAAAAGTATTCTTTTGGTCGCCATTGTTTAGTTTTCCATATGGACAAACAACAAAAGCCCTTCAGGTAAGTTTTAAGTTTGTGAGTAGTTTTTAAGGTTTTGTGACTTTCTTTCTTTCAAATTCACTTTGGGGAAATTTCCAACAGAAAGAGGTCGCTTTCTGGACTTGTATCGTCGTCTAAAGAGCCGAGTGATAAGCGAAAACGATACGTGTGTACGTACCAAAAAAGTTGGGAGTCCGAGTTTCAATGGACCAAAGAAATCAAATCAAATATGTTTATTGACATGTCATGACATGATTTGTCATTGTCAGAGGTTGGCAACTATGTTTATCCTGTGTGAAAGAATTTTTTTTTTCAGTCCAAGTTTTAATGAAATATTTTGTTATTAATGTATGTCCTGTTTCTTTTCAATCATGTACATAGTCTTATGTATTGTATGAACTCATAGTCTCATGTATTGTATGAACTCATCGTCTCATGTATTGTATGAACTCATAGTCTTATGTGTTGTATGAACTCATAGTCTTATGTATTGTATGAACTCATAGTCTTATGTATTGTATGAACTCATAGTCTTATGTATTGTATGAACTCATAGTCTTATGTATTGTATGAACTATTAGTCTTATGTATTGTATGAACTCATAGTCTTATGTATTGTATACACTTATATTCATGTTTTCTCCCTGTATTTACTGGCTTTAACTTTAATGGAAGATATTCATGATCTTTTCTCACAATTTTGCTGTCAAATCACATTTTGAAAACTACAGCTAAAATGAGATTTATCTTGCATACAAATAGTGTTACCTATACATAAGAAAGAGTTAATTTTGAAAGAAGTAAGTTTGAAAATAAGATAGGATAGAAGTTGTTTTATTAAACAGAGTGAACAATAGGAAATTGAAACTGTATGTATCTTACATGACATTTAGGACAACTCCATCTTCCCTCTGGAATGCTGGGTAATGATGGTTCTACACAATGAATATGGTAAGCTCTATGACAAGTGTCACATGGAATGAGGTTATCAACCATGCCACATTTGGAACAAGACAAGTCTCTGACTTCTTGGAACTGAAGGACAAAAAAGTTTTTTTTTCAATTCTTGTTAAGGAGAAAAGTACATTTTTAAAATGTTAGTATCTCAAAGACATTATGGCAACTAAAAAGTAGGTAATGCTGATACACACAATTAATATGGATTCAACTAATAAGAAGCTCCATTCGAACTATTGTGTTTAGAGACCTCTTTATGTCATTTTTCTCACTATTACTCACATTATGTCGAAGAAATTAATTTCTGACTGAACAAGTGACCAAGCATTGTTTTTAAAGTATCTTTATGATCCAACTGATTAAATAAATTTATTTAAACATTGTTAAAGGAATACTATTTGAGATACGAAATCACTTACCTCAGAAGCCCCATTTTTAAAGACACCATTTTTAATGCCAGTCCAACTGTCGTTACTATCTGGTGTACTAGGATGACTATTACACGGTGAAGTACGACTTTGTTTAGGGGGTCTTCCTTCAAATACAGAAAAACATCTGTAATACTTGTTATAGTTATCTAAATATTGTATCTTACAAATGAATATAAATAAAATACAGCTATATGAAAAGTGTAAAAAGTAATCATAAAAAAGTTAATAGAGACTAAAGCTTTGTTCCCAATAAACTGTTGCCACAGATTTTTGAAATTTTGATAGTATAATGCAAATATTGAATCCAAATGGCAATATGTAAACATGTTAATTATGCTAAACATTCGAAGTCAATGAACCATGACTAAAGGTACAGGACCAAATAACCTCCATGAAAATTAAAAATACCAATGCTTATAAAAATGCATACCAAATACATACTAACCTCACCTTAACACTAACCTAAACATAAACTTTAACTTGTAAACAATGTACAAATTTCAAAGTCAATGAATCCTGATAGAGGGTGGGGCCAAATAGCCTACATGGAAAAGAATGCAAATGCTATTACTATCATTGACTTAACATTAGTGGTTCCTCTTAAACTGATCTAATCACAAACTTTAACATGTAAACTATACAACACATTCAAAGTCAATACACCATTACTGATGGGACAGAGCCAAATAATCTCCATAATGAGATGTGCCAATGCTTATACATCTGCATACCAAATATCATTGACCTACCACAAGTGGTTCCCCTTAAAGTGACCTAATCACAAACTTATACATGTTAAGTAAGCAAAAGTTTCAAAGTCAATAGACTATGACTGAGGGAGCAGTTTTATTGGTGGAGTAAACTGGAGTACCCAGGGAGAACCACCAACCTTCAGCAGGAATACTGGCAATCCAATTCAATTAAGATTGGAGTCATACATACCTGCCATGTGCCTGATTTAAACTCACAACCTCAGTGTTGACAGGCTAGTGCTCACTGTAGATGAACCAGATGCAGATCCACCATTTTGAAAAAGGGGGCCCCTAAACTAGAGTTTGGACTTGAATAGGTAAAAAGTCTGGATTAACCATAAATGTAGCTCCATTAGGGGGGCCGGGCTTCCCCCTCCCTAATCCGCCTCTGGTTGAACTACTTAGGCCACTGGGCTATTTCTGACTATTTGATTGTAAATTGATACATACCTCTTGACCTCTTAGCACCAGGAAGTGAATTCAATGTTAAACTATTTGGTCTCTTTCTCTGTAAAAATAAGACGTGTAAATTATTGTAATGTAGGTAATTATCTACCAGATATTTAGAGATAACTATTGTTTTCTCCTAGTAAACATCACCTTATACATCTTCACAAAAAGCAATTCAATAATTAAATATTTTTCTTTGAAAAATGAAGAGGTCTTCTATTAGTATTACCCTAAGAAATCTTTCCCATATTGAGACAAAATTTGCACCATTTTTTTTGTCATTTTTGAAGGCCATACCTAGATGTAAGTTACCCATACCTTGACCTTTAGTAGCTTACATCCAGGTCATTTGGACTTTGAAAAGTTGTCTCATTGGAAATCATACCACACCTCCTTATTTTGAAGAACACTCATATTATTAATTAGAACCCCAAACTTGTCTGATTACAACATTATTAATTGGGAACCTCAAACTTGTCTGTTTACAATTACAACATTATTAATTAGGAACCTCAAACTTGTCTGTTTATAACATTATTAATTGGGAACCTCAAACTTGTCTGTTTACAACATTATTAATTAGCAACCTCTTGTCTGTTTACAACATTATTAATTAGCAACCTCAAACTTGTCTGTTTACAACATTATTAATTGGGAACCTCAAACTTGTCTGTTTACAACATTATAAATTGGCAACCTCAAACTTGTCTGTTTACAACATTATTAATTAGCAACCTCAAACTTGTCTGTTTACACCATTATTAATTGGGAACCTCAAACTTGTCTGTTTACAACATTATTAATTGGGAACCTCAAACTTGTCTGTTTACAACATTATTAATTGGGAACCTCAAACTTGTCTGTTTACAACATTATTAATTAGGAACCTCAAACTTGTCTGTTTACAACATTATAAATTGGCAACCTCAAACTTGTCTGTTTACAACATTATTAATTAGCAACCTCAAACTTGTCTGTTTACACCATTATTAATTGGGAACCTCAAACTTGTCTGTTTACAACATTATTAATTGGGAACCTCAAACTTGTCTGTTTACAACATTATTAATTGGGAACCTCAAACTTGTCTGTTTACAACATTATTAATTAGGAACCTCAAACTTGTCTGTTTACAACATTATAAATTGGCAACCTCAAACTTGTCTGTTTACAACATTATTAATTAGCAACCTCAAACTTGTCTGTTTACACCATTATTAATTGGGAACCTCAAACTTGTCTGTTTACAACATTATTAATTGGGAACCTCAAACTTGTCTGTTTACAACATTATTAATTAGCAACCTCAAACTTGTCTGTTTACAACATTATTAATTGGGAACCTCAAACTTGTCTGTTTACAACATTATTAATTAGCAACCTCAAACTTGTCTGTTTACAACATTATTAATTGGGAACCTCAAACTTGTCTGTTTACAACATTATTAATTGGGAACCTCAAACTTGTCCTTTTACAACATTATTAAGGGGCATACTATGGGAACCCAAATGTGAAATATTTCAAATTCAAACTGAATCTGTCTAGTAGTTTCAAAATTGTTTTATATTTCAAATAATTTCATTCAAGCCATTTAAAAGGAAATCTCTCAAATTTGTATATTTTACAGATGGCCAAATCAACCCCCCCCCACCCAACTAAAATTTTATTTTTCATAATCAAACACAAAGTCAGTTAAATAAAATTTAGACAATTTCAATGTAGATTTTTTAAAACTGTATTTGATACTACATATTTTTCTGATTTTTAAGTTGGTATACATTTGGTCAATATTTTGGCCACAGGTAATCCATAAACATAATCAAAATGGGAGATGTTTTAACCATGGAGAGAGATTACAATTCAACAAAAATAAAATTAAACAATATTTCATTTAAAAATAAATATTCCTATACAGTATGCAAACAAAACCAATCTTTTTATTGAAAAAAGTCAAACAGATTTTTAACTGTTTTGATCATAGGAAATATTTTTTTTAAATTCCAAGAACTCATTGATGGGTAACACAATAAGTATCTAAAATGAACACTGTAACCAGTTAGTTTAAGTTCTCTAACAAAAAGATACCACACTGTTAAAAGAAAAAGATTTGTTTATAATATTTCATGTTGGAAATCTTTCTGGAATTGGGCAAAGGGAGACAACTCTTATTCACTGTTCAATGTATTTTTGTCACATTTTTTGTGGAAATTTTGTACTATTAATATAAAAGAAACATAAGATTCAAAATTAATCAATGGAAATAGAATAAATTACTATCTCTTGATGAAAGCTAACATCAATGTGCTATCAATTTTTGATTTAAATTGGATGAAGGGGAATTAGATTTGTCCTGTGTTAATAAAGTTTTATAAGTACTACACAAAGACTGCACAATTGGTTGTTCAACAACATGTGCAGAATTATCAATATTTACTATTTGGATAATCAACAGCATCTTCATTATCCCCTAGTTCAATAAAATAAAGTCTAATGAAAAATGAAATACTTAAAAAAAAAACTAATGAAACAATGTTTTCTGCCACTGTTAATGTTTTTTTTAGAAAGTGGTGGGTTTATGGCACTACTCCCAAAATGATCTCCAGTTTTTTTAATCAAACTGATAAATTTTTACCCAGTATTTCTTGATTAAATATTATGCATCCTCCCATGGGTATTTTATCTCCTTGGTTACTTACTATATCTGGTTCAAAGTTATACAGTGGGTTCATGAGTATTTGATCTCCTTGGTTACTTACTATATCTGGTTCAAAGTTATACAGTGGGTTCATGAGTATTTTATCTCCTTGGTTACTTACTATATCTGGTTCAAAGTTATACAGTGGGTTTGCTGTTGTCCTTCTTCTTCTATCATATCTTTTATTCTTCAATTCTACAGTAATATAAATCATATTAACCTATTCTCACATCACAATTCTACAGTAGTATAAATCATATTAACCAATTCTCACATCACAATTCTACAGTAGTATAAATCATATTAACCTCACATCACAATGCTCACATATAAAACAACTTCATTCTTTTGCTTTTCTCACAATATCTGATCCCATTAGTTAGAAATTTCAAATAAAACATAGCAGTATGACAGCAAAATAAACAAAAATAAACTGCTTCGCTGAGCGCAGCTGGATACAACAGCAGAGATCCAACCCTGAACAGTAAGGGCAAAAATGGACACAGTATTCAAGCTTGATACAGGTCTGGATTTTGATTGTAATTAAATACTTGACACATTATAGGTTTCAAACACAGAATAAATGGAGTAAAAGAACTTAAAATTGGTTATATGATTTGAATTATATTCAATTGAAGATTTCTTGCTTTTGTGCAATACACTGTGCTGTTGTGCAATACTTGGTAAATTTTTTTTACCTCCCAAATTTTTTTTTTAACCTCCAAAGATCCATACACTTAAACTTTAGTTATTTTCCGGAAACCAAATGTCTTCGGACAACGACGACAACGACATGATAGCATTATACGACCCCAAAATTTTTTTGCAGTCGTATAAAAACACTTAATATTTACTCAGCATAACAACACTACAAAAGTGGCAGTTTAAATATCCACTATAGGTGGGTGTGGTGCGTGTTGCTCAGTTCAAATATCCACTATAGGTGGGTGTGGTGCATGTTGCTCAGTTTAAATATCCACTATAGGTGGGTGTGGTGCGTGTTGCTCAGTTTAAATATCCACTATAGGTGGGTGTGGTGAGTGTTGCTCAGTTTAAATATCCACTATAGGTGGGTGTGGTGCGTGTTGCTCAGTTTTTTATGCTGTGTTTTGTTGACTTTTGCCATGGCAATGTCTGTTGGTCTTCCACTTATGAGTTTGATTATCTTACTTTTTGGTTGATGTTAGTTAAACATTTAACATTCAATTAAATGTTGTAATTTTCTTTAAAGAAAGAATTATCAACATTATTATTATTATTAATTAAACATGAAATATTGATTTCTAAAAAATCCATACAGCTTTGTTGGGGGAAAATGATATTAACAATGCAGTTTTCCAAAAAAAACAACATTTTTTTCCAAATCTCTGCAAGTTTTCTGAATTAATATACAACTAAAATAAGCCCTAACACAGTTAAATTATACCTACCATTTAATGCTTCCCTAGTTATAAGTTCTAATGCATTCATAAAATTCAGTTTCTGAAAATATATTGTGAAATTCATATTGTATATATGTTACTCAGATCAACGTCCAGTCTCTAATCAACTCTTGTTCCTTAAATCAACGTCCAATGTCTTATATTCTATCATCCTCTTAAGAAATATATTTAAAATGCATACATCCATCATAGTATTTGCTTGAACCTTTACTGCTTACTCTATGGTAGTGTAATGATACATTGTATATGCATTGCTCTTAATAGTATACAATACTCTGACAATTCATAACAAATGGAAATTAATTACTGTAAATTTAGAAATTCTTTGTTTTTTAATTTTAGTTCTATTATATGTTTCAGAATTTAGTGTGACGTCCATTTTCACTGAACTTGTACACATTTTTGTTCAGAGGCCAACTGAAGCCCGCTTCCCGGTGTGGGATTTTCTAGCTGTGTTAAAGACCCATTGGTGGCCTTGGGCTGTTTTCTGCTCTTTGGTCAGGTTGTTGTCTCTTTGACACATTCCCTGTTTCCATTTTCAATTTTATATGATATTTTTATTTCGGCAAAATATATATGATGAGATGTAATAAGTAATAATCTAATCAATAAGATTTTGTATTATAAATCATCTTATTTGTAAGCAGCAAAAAGGCATCAAATAATGTCATAATATTGTGAGGGGGTAGAGGAGGGTGTCATCCCAATTCCAGATAAAATAAACACTGAATCCTGGATCCCGAAAAAATTTATTATTCATTTCTGAGTCCTGATAAGTGTAAATCCTGAATTGCTGCAAAAATAAAGGCCTTACACAGACTTCCAAAATAATTCTTTACGGCCCTCTATTGTTTATTGGTGAACAGCTTAAACAATAAATGCATACAAAATAAAATGCTTCGCTGGGCGCAGCTTGATACGACCGCAGAGGTCGAACCCTGAACAGTTGGGGCAAGTATGGACACAACATTCAAGCTTGATACAGCTCTGAATTTGGATTGTGATTAAATATTTGACACAGCATAGGTTTCTGACACAGAAAGAATGTGGTCTAAGAACTTCAATTTTTTTAATTTACCTATTATGGTCCAATGTCCAAAATCAAAATACATGGTTAGATTCAGCATATCAAAGAACCCCATATATTCAATTTTTGTTGAAATCGAACAAAGTTTAATTTTGGACCCCAACTTGGACAAACTTGAAAACTGGTCCCATAATCAAAAATCTAAACACATGTTTAGATTCAGCATATCAAAGTACCCCAAGAATTCAATTTTTGTTAAAATCAAACTAAGTTTAATTTTGGACCCTTTGGACCTTAATGTAGACCAATTTAAAAAACGGGACCCAAAATTAAAAATCTAAAAACACGGTTAGATTTGGCATATCAAAGAACCCCAATAATTCAATTTTTGATGAAATCAAACAAAGTTTAATTTTGGACCCTTTTGACCTCAATATGAACCAATTTGATAGCAGGCCCACAAAATAAAAAATCTAAATACATGGTAAGATTCAGCATATCAAAGAACCCCATATATTCAATTTTTGTTGAAATCAAACAAAGTTTAATTTTGGACCCCAATTTGGACCAACTTGAAAACTGGGCCAAAAATCTAAAATCTAAATACATGTTTAGATTCAGCATATCAAAGAACCACATATATTCAATTTTTGTTGAAATCAAACAAAGTTTAATTTTGGACCCCAACTTGGACCAACTTGAAAACTGGGCCCATAATCAAAAATCTAAACACATGTTTAGATTCAGCATATCAAAGAACCCCAAGAATTCAATTTTTGTTAAAATCAAACTAAGTTTAATTTTGGACCCTTTGGACCTTAATGTAGACCAATTTAAAAATGGGACCCAAAATTAAAAATCTAAATACACGGTTAGATTTGGCATATCAAAGAACCCCAATAATTCAATTTTTGATGAAATCAAACAAAGTTTAATTTTGGACCCTTTTGACCTCAATATGAACCAATTTGATAGCGGGTCCACAAATAAAAAATCTAAATACATGGTTAGATTCAGCATATCAAAGAACCCCAAGAATTCAATTTTTGATGAAATCAAACAAAGTTTAATTTTGGACCCTTTTGACCTCAATGTGGACAAAGTTGATAACGGGGCCCAAAAATCAAAAATCTAAATACATGGTTAGATTCAGCATATCAAAGAACCCCATATATTCAATTTTTGTTGAAATCAAACAAAGTTTAATTTTGGACCCCGATTTGGACCAACTTGAAAACTGGGCCCATAATAAAAAATCTAAATACATGTTTAGATTCAGCATATCAAAGTACCCTAAAAATTCAATTTTTGTTAAAATCAAACTAAGTTTAATTTTGGACCCTTTTGACCTTAATGTAGACCAATTTGAAAACGGAACCAAAAATTAAGAAACTAAATACACGGTTAGATTTGGCATATCAAAGAACCCCAATAATTCAATTTTTGATGAAATCAAACAAAGTTAAATTTTGGACCCTTTGGACCTCAATGTGGACCAATTTAAAAACGGGGCCCAAAATCCAAAAACTTAATACACGGTTAGATTCAGCATATTAAAGAACCCCAAGAATTCAAGAATAAAACCCCATTGAAATTGATCAAGAAATAAGCAATTTATACGAAGTATCTTCTTTTGCACAATACTGTGCAATTGAATATTTCTTGCTATTGTGCAATACTGTACAATTGACAATTTCTTGCTATTGCGCAATATTGTGCTATTGGATATTTCTTGCTATTGCGCAATACTGTGCAATTGAAGATTTCTTGCTATTGCGCAATACTGTGCAATTGAAGATTTCTTTCAATTGTGCAATACTGTGCAATTGAAAATTTCTTGCTATTGCACAATACTTATTATATAATAATTTACACATCCTGTTTGGTGTGTATCTCCTACCATATCATTATTATTTGCTTTTAAATATTAATCAGAAATACCCAACTTAAAATGGAAAATTTTAAAAGAAAAAAAAAGGAAAAAAAGAAAAAAAAAGAAAAAAAAAAATCCCCCCCCCCCCAAATTTTTTGAACCCCCTTATGATTCATCACCCCAAAACTCAATCCCAGCCTTCCCTTTGTGGTATGGTACCTTGCAGTACAATTTCAGAGAGATCCATACACTTAAACACAAGTTATTGTCTGGAAACTAGAAAAATGCTTATTTTTGGCCCCTTTTTGGCCCCCAATTCCTAAACGTTTCGGGCAATTACCCCCAAACTCAATTCCAGCTTTCCCTTTGTGATATGGAACCTTGTAGTACAATTTCAGAAATATCCAAACACTTACACACAAGTTATTGTCATGAAACTAGAAAAATGCTTGTTTTTTGCCCCTTTTTTGGCCCCTAATTCCTAAAATTTTGAGGCAATTACCCCCAAAATCAATTACAGCCTTCCCTTTGTGATATGGAACCTTGTGGTACAATGTCAGAGAGATCCATACACTTACATACAAGTTATGTCTGGAAGTTACAAAAATGCTTATTTTTGGCCCCTTTTTGGCCCCTAATTCCTTAACTGTTGGTACCATAACACCCAAAATCAATCCCCACCTTCCTTTCGTGGTATTTAACCTTATGGTAAAATTTCATGGAGATCCATTCACTTAAACTAAAGTTAGAGTGCGAAAACCAATGTGTCTTCGGACGACGCCGGACGACGCCAGACGACGACGACGACGACGACGACGACGACGACGACGACGCCAACGTCATACCAATATACGACCAAAAAATTTTCAATTTTTGCGGTCGTATAAAAAGTCAGAATTCACAGTTATATGATGACTAGCTATAATAATCAAAGCACTGTAAGCACTGTAGGCAGTTAACCAAAAACCAAGGCAAATGTAATTATGAAAACTGTGGCAATGTTGCTTCAATTTTTTTTTAAGATTTGAAAGAACAAACATTAAACATTCGTATATTGTACATTTATGTTCAATAAATGAATTGATTATTAAGGCAAATTAATTCATATTTCATCAAGGTTTTCAAAAGCAACTCATATATCAATGTAAATGACCCCTATCTTCACCCCCAAGTGCATGATGTTACTCCATACCAAGTTTGGAATAAAATGACAGATGATTATAAAACAGTTGGTCTAACATTCTTGGGCTTTACACTGCTTGAAAGATTTATATGTTTTCTTTAAAATAAATGAAAATTATTATAGGCCCAGAAATAATTTAATAAACAATTAAAGTAAATTCAATAATCTAGACTCATTTTTTGCATAAAATTTTTTTTATAATAAACAAGAAATAATTGTAACAGGATGCCGTTACGAAGTCTCCCAAACAAAGCCCCCATAATTCGTCATTCACATGGTCTCCTGACATTGGGCAAAGTCCAGTTCATATTGGTTTGGTCTAGTAAAGTGATATGCATATGTGACACCAAGGAGATTGACCCTGTATGTCATTCAAATCTTTTTGAAATGATGAACAGGAATAAATATGGTTTAGGTGTGGGTATTTCGACCGTTTACAAGTTCTCAAACAGGAAGCGGTGGGGTGACCCCACGGACTCCCAAAATATTTCATTTGATTTGTTATATTGTCCCATACATGAATACATATGGTTTAGGGGTGGGGATCTCGACCATTTCCAAGTTCTCAAACAGGAGGGGGTGGGGTGACCCCAGGGACTCCCCAAATATTTCATTTGATTTGTTATATTGTCCCATACATGAATATATATGGTTTAGGGGTGGGGATCTTGACTGTTTACAAGTTCTCAAACAAGAGGGGGTTAGGTGTACCTATGGACTCCCACTATATTTCATTTGATTTGTTTTGTTGTCCCATACATGAATATATATGGTTTAGGGGTGGGGATCTCGACCATTTCCAAGTTCTCAAACAGGAGGGGGTGGGGTGACCCGAGGAACTCCCCATATATTTCATTTGATTTGTTATATTGTCCCATACATGAATATTTATGGTTTAGGGGTGGGGATCTTGACTTGTTTACAAGTTCTCAAACAGGAGGGGCGGGGGTGTCCCCAGGGACTCCCCCTATATTTCATTTGATTTGTTTTATTGTCCCATACATGAATGTATATGGTTTAGGGGTGGGGATCTCAACCATTTCCAAGTTCTCAAACAGGAGGGGTTGGGGTGACCCCAGGGACTCCCCATATATTTCATTTTTGATTTGTTTAATTGTCCCATACATGAATATATATGGTTTAGGTGTGGGGATCTTGACCATTTCCAAGTTCTCAAACAGGAGGAGTTGGGACAACACTGGGGACTCCCCTCAATTATTTTCATTTGATTTCTTTTAGTGTCCCATTCAAGTATATATATTGTTTAGGGGTGGGGATAGCGACGGTTTACAAGATAAAAGTACATTTTTATACTGAAGGGGGTTGGGATGACCCCCAGGGACTCACCCTATATTTTGGTTGATTTTTTGTATTGTCCTGTTCTTATTACTGAAGACTGCATGTGTCTATCACCTACTGTTTTCGAGAAATAGTCATTTGAAAATTTAAAAAAATAAAATCCCGTAGGGTTCTATAGTAAACCCCTCCCTTCTTCAGGCCCCTCCAAATAACAAATAACCCTAAATAAACCCCAATGCACAAACAAAAGGTTAATGGCTCCGCTAGACATGTTAGTCTAATATTTTATGAAACTCTAAGTAAATCTGACAAACGGTCAAAGTTGTCTTCTTAGACGGTTTGAGTGGCTTCGGTCCGACTTCTCTCTTCTACAGACTTTAACTTCTACAGTCAGTGTAGACTCCCCTCCCATTTGATTGCCCCAAAAATTAATTATATCATGTTTTTCATGATTTACATGATTTATTAGCATGAAATCGTCCAAAAAGTAATCAGGTTAATGGAATAACACCCCCTTTCAAAATTCCTGGATCAGCCCCTGACAGAAGTTTTGATTCATGGTTATCCTGTCCTGGGTGAATACCTTAACAAACATACCTCTTTTTCTTCTGGAGTTGGTTTTTTATCAACAGTTCTATCACCAAGATCATCAGATGAAGGTTGCCTCTGTATTGATGTGGATGAGGATGACTTAGAACTACCCTAGAAACAATACCAATATTGCATGTATTTGTGGAAATGTTGTGAACAAGTCGTAATTTTCTATATATTTAATATCTTTTGTGCAGACATTTTGTACAAGTTTTCATTATTTTGACACCCACCTTCTATCACCAGGTGCTACAAGTTTTTATTCAATAAATACCAGCTTGATGTTTTACATGTAAATTTATATATTTAAAACTAACATTCACATAATTAAAACTTGTCCTCTTTGGCATAAAGCTACAAATGAGGAAAACAAATAGGGTTAAGTCTTATTTTTTCTTTCTTTTTTGCTTCTAACAAATTCCAAGTCCTTATAATATCTATGTCCTTATTTAAATAAACTGTTTACACAGAGATATGTCTCGCCTGTCCGCATAAAATTCAGAAAAAGACATTCTGATGGACAGCAACATTGCTTATTAATTCAAAGTCGCTGGACCATGATCTTGTAGGCAGGGACTAGAAATGGTCGACAAACTGAGATGTTCTGATAGTAATGCAACTTTATACAAAATATCATTGATCTGTCACAAGTAGTTCTTATCAAACTGACTTAAGCAGAAAACTTAACATTGAAAAATTGCTAATTAATTCAAAGTCACTGGACCATGACTTAGGGACCAGGGCCTCAAAATAGTCGTCAAACAGATGTATTCTGATAGTAATGCAACTTCATATAAATTATCATTGATCCATCACAAGCATGACAAGTAGATCCTATCAAACTAACTCAAGAAGAAAACTTAACATTGAAAATTGCTAATTAATTCAAAGTCACTGGACCATGACTTAGGGACAAGGGCCTCAAATTAGTCTTCAAAATGATATGTACTGATAGTAATGCAACTTCATATTAAATATCAATGATCTATCACAAGCAGTTCCTATCAAACTAACTTAAGCAGAAAACTAATTCAAAGTTGCTGGACCATGACCTAGGGGGCAGGGCCTCGAAATAGTCATCAAATTGATATGTACTGATAGTAATGCAACTTTACATTAAATATCAATGATTTATCACAAGTAGTTCCTATTAAACTAAATTAAGCAGAAAACTAAACAATTGTTGACGCCACCACTGCAGCTGCAGTTGAGCAATTCCTATGTCTCACTTTCCGCAACTTTCGTCGCAGGCGAGACAAAAATCGTATTGCTGATATGTATCAGGCTATAGAATGACATCATTCAAATATGATAGTGTGTTTATTTTATCCATCTCTGTTAGGCCAATTAAAATTAATTGATAAATTTTCATCCCTGCTCGCTCCTCTGAAATCGTCCCGCCCCGATTTTTTTTATGCTTGAAAATTTAAGATTTCAGGATTTTGTTCAGTTCTGTTACCGTTAACTGTTGATAGTTTAGTTTCATTCAATCCTTTTGCAAAATATCTGCTGCTCTATGATGACAACAGTATCTTCTGAGAATAGAGATTGATTACAGGAAGAACATGAAATATCTGAATTACGAATAATAGAACACAAATCATGATATCACACGGATATGTCACAAATTTCAGTGATTTGAAAATCGTGAATTTTTTTATTTAAACAATGACTTTGTGCCAGGATATTTGTACTGTGAATGATATCTAAACGCAAGAACCGTGGAACACACTGGTACAAAAAACATGACTGGAATAAAGAAATTTACATAAGCACGAACTTGTGCGATTTATAGCCATATATATTTTTGAGTGCAAAAAGTCGGACAACGTACAAAATGTATTAAAGCAAGGCTTAGCCCTTAGATTTACCCCAAGGCTCTCTTTTTTGTTATTGACAAACATCAAACACTTTCTGTCCCCAGCCCCTCAATAGAGTCATTAAACAATTTCTTCCTTTTGGTGAAGTTCATAATCATGTCTTTACATTGTAATTAAATAAAATAATAAAATGCTCCGCTGGGCGCAGCTTGATACGACCGCAGAGGTGGAACCCTGAACAGTTGGGGCAAGTATGGACACAACATTCAAGCTTGATACAGCACTGAATTTGGATTGTGATTAAATATTTGACACAGCATAGGTTTCTGACACAGAATGAATGTGGTCTAAGAACTTAAAAAATTTTAATTTACCTATTCAAACCATATCATTATTATTTGCTTTTATATATAAATCAGAAATAACCAATTTAAATTGGAAAATTTTAAAGGAAAAAAAGGAAATAAAATGCTTCGCTGAGCGCAGCCTGATACGACCGCAGAGGTCGAACCCTGAACAGTTTGGGCAAATTTGGACACAATATTCAAGCTTGATACTGTCTGAATTTGGATTGTGATCAAATTTTTGACATAATATAGGTTTCTGACACAAAATAAATGTGGTCAAAGATCTTACAAATCTATTGCGCAATACTGTGCAATTGAAGATTTCTTCTTGAAACTTTTCAAAAATTCGAAATTTGAAACATTTTGAAAAAAAAAATATAAATCCCTTAAAAAAATTAGAAAAAAAAATCCCCCCCCCCCCCAACTTTTTGAAACCCCCCTTGGAGCAATAACCCCAAAACTCAATCCCAGCCTTTCCTTTGTAGTATGGAACATTGTAGTACAATTTCAGAGAGATCCATACACTTACACACAAGTTATTGTCTGGAAACTAGAATAAACTGCTTCGCTGAGCGCAGCTAGATACGCCCGCAGAGGTCCAACCCTGAACAGTTAGGGCAAAAATGGACACAATATTCAAGCTTGATTCAGGTCTGAATTTGGATTGTAATTAAATATTTGACATATTATAGGTTTCTGAATAAATGTAGTCAAAGATCTTGAAATTGGTTATATGAATTGAATTTATATTCAATTAAAGATTTCTTGTTGTTGTGCAATACTTAGTAAATCTGTTGTCAGACTATAAACAAATAAAGTTCAATTAATACTCAATGTCATATTAGAAATTTATGAAAATAAAAAGGGAGCTTACATAAATACATATAAACAGTTCACCAAAGTTTCATGAGAATTGGTGACAGCATTTTTGAGTTATTGTCGGAAAACTGGAAAATCACCCCTTTTTTTAATGAATAAAACCCCATAACTCAGAAATGTAAAATGTAAAATTTATAAAATTCTAAAGGGAGCTTACAGCAATACATACTAACAATTCACCAAAGTTTCATAAGAATTGCTGAAAGCATTTTTGAGTTTTTGTCAGAAAACTGGAAAATCCCCCCTTTTTTAAGAATAAAACCCTGTAACTCGGAAACGTAAAATCTAAAATTTATAAAAATCAAAAGGGAGCTCATGTCAATAGATATAAACAATTCACCACAATTTCTTGCAAGTTGGTGAAAGCATTCTTGACTTATTGTCCGAAAACTTGAAAATCCCCCTTTTTTTAATGAACAAGAGTGCACACGCTGAAATGTCTCGCCTACTATACTGACCATTGATTTTATGTTGATAGTCCTACATATAAATTTTTACTACAAGTATCACATTAACATTTATGATCCAAGAAAATGAGGTCAAGGTCAGATAAACCAAGCCGGAAATACATGTACACCTTTAATACAATCCCTCCTATTGCTTAGAGTATAAAAGAAACAGACCAAACCATGGAAATTCTATATTGACCAATGAACCATGAAAATGAAGTCAAGGTCATTTGAACCCTGTCAGACAGACATGTACACATTAAAATCATTCCAAATATAGTTGACCTATTGCTTAAAGTATCTAAGAAAAAAATTAAACCAGGAAAACTGAACATTGACCAATCAACCATGAAAATGAGGTAAAGGTCAGATGATACCTGCCAGACAGACATATACACCTTACAATCATTCCATACACCAAATATAGTTGACCTATTGCCTAAAGTGTAAGAAAAACAGACCAAAACACAAAAACTTAACATAAGCAATGAACCATGAAAATGAGGTCAAGGTCAAATAAAACCTGCCAGACTGACATGTACATCGTTAAATATTTCCATACACCAAATATAGTTGACCTACTGCATACAGTATTAGGAAAACAGACCAAAACACAAAAACTTAACATTTAGCAATGAACCTTGAAAATGAGGTCAAGGTCAAATAAAACATGCCAGACTGACATGTACATCATAAAATATTTCCATACACCAAATATAGTTGACCTACTGCATACAGTATTAGAAAAACAGACCAAAACACAAAAACTTAACATTGAGCAATGAACCTTGAAAATGAGGTCAAGGTCAAATAAAACATGCCAGATTGACATGTACATCATAAAATATTTCCATACACCAAATATAGTTGACCTATTGCATACAGTATTAGAAAAACAGACCAAAACACAAAAACTAAACTATAACCACTGAACCATGAAAATGAAGTCAAGGTCAGATGACACCTGCCAGTTGGACATGAACACCTTACTATCATTACATACACCAAATATAGTAGACCTATTGCTTATAGTATCTCAGATATGGACTTGACCACGAAAACTTAACCTTGTTCACTGATCCATGAAATGAGGTCAAGGTCAAATGAAAACTGTCTGACGGGCATGAGGACCTTGCAAGGTACGCACATACCAAATATAGTTATCCTATCACTTATAATAAGAGAGAATTTAACATTCCAAAAAATCTGAACTTTTTTTTCAAGTAGTCACTGAACCATGAAAATGAGGTCAAGGACATTGGACATGTGACTGACGGATACTTTGTAACATGAGGCATCTATATACAAAGTATGAAGCATTCAGGTCTTCCACCTTCTAAAATATAAAGCTTTTAAACAGTTAGCTAACGCCGCAGCCGCTGCCGTAGCCGCCAGATCACTATCCCTATGTCGAGCTTTCTGCGACAAAAGTCGCAGGCTCGACAATAAAACCCCATTACTCCGAAACGTAAAATCTAAAATTTATAAAAAAACAAAAGGGAGCTCATGTCAATAGATATAAACAATTCACCAAAGTTTTATGCAAATTGGTGAAAGCATTTTTGAGTTAATGTCCGACATGTTGACGACGGACAGACGGACGGACGGACAGACGGACAACCGTATACCATAATACGTCCCGTAAACGGGCGTATAAAAATGCTTGTTTTTGGCCCTTTTTTGGCCCTTAATTCCTACATGTTTGGGGCAATTAACCCCATACTCAATCACAGCCTTCCCTTTGTTATATGGAACCTTGTGGTACAATTTCAGAGAGATCCATACACTTACACACAAGTTATTGTCTGGAAACTAGAAAAATGCTTGTTTTTGGCCCCTTATTCCTAAACTTTTTGGGCAATTACCCCCAAACTCAATTCCAGCTTTCCCTTTGTGATATGGAACCTTGTAGTACAATTTCATAAAGATCCATACACTTACACACAAGTTATTGTCATGAAACTAGAAAAATGCTTGTTTTTTGCCCCTTTTGGCCCCCAATTCCTAAAATTTGGAGGCAATTACCCCCAAAATCAATCCCAGCATTCCCTTTGTGATATGGAACCTTGTGATACAATGTCAGAGAGATCCATAGACTTACACACAAGTTATTGTAATGAAACTAGAAAAATGCTTGTTTTTTGCCACTTTTTGGGTCCTAATTCCTAAAATTTGGAGGCAATTACCCCCAAAATCAATCCCAGCATTCCCTTTGTGATATGGAACCTTGTGGTACAATGTCAGAGAGATCCATACACTTACACACATGTTATGTCTGGAAGTTACAAAAATGCTTATTTTTGGCCCCTAATTCCTTAGGGATCATAGATTTATTCTTACGAGGAAGCTAGGAGCATGCTTGGAGGATGCTCGGAGCTTTTTAAGTTGGCTCTTCTGAGCGGTTTATGTGACAATAATTATCATGATCCATTAAGATGTCAATCAAATCTATAGCACTTCTATAATTAGGAAAGTAGAGCATTATAGAGGAAGCTCAATTAACACCTGTGTAAACATCTGGTCTATATAAATAAGTCTTGCATTAACTATACAAAACTATAAATAGATGAGAAATTCTTCAATAATACTGTACAATGCTTGGAAAGAAATATCAAGTCTTCACAGAAAGAAAATGTTTTTAAAACATTTTCTTAATAATTATCATTTTTTTTTTCAATACAAAAATATACTCAAATTTTATATTGAGAATATAAATATACTTTAAATTTATACTATATAAAATAAAATATAAAATTCATCAAAGACACAAACTATGGTTATTAATTTACAACCATACTGCTTAAATTTAGTACATTCAATTTCATGAAGAAGGGTTGATTTTTTTTTATATTCTACTTAATTTGACAGTTGTTGGAAATTAACCCACCATTTCATTGCAGAAATATGTTTTTGAGACGTGGGTGTTTCAAAGCAATAAAAAAAATTCTATTTGGTGTTCTGTAAAATATTTTAGAAATTTTAGGGGACATGACTACTAAAGCTTGTAAACAGGGAAAAAAGGGGGAGAAAATTTGATTGGTTAACTTCTGGTGATGTTTTCTTTCTTATGTGCACTGAAAAGTGATGTTGTATTGTTACTGTAATACAGGACAGGATAAAACTTTACTCTTGTCAAGAATTTCTTTATTTAAAACATAGATATATTCTGCACAATTGTTTTTGAGAAATACCAATTAAACAAAGACTGGTAGGGGAAAAACAATTTTATGTTAGATTTTCACTGAAGTACAGGACAGAATAAAACTTTACTCATGCCAAGTATTTTTTTATTTAAAATAAAGCCAAATCCGCACAATATAAAAAAATGCCAATTAAAAAGAGACTTACTAGAGGGAAAACAATGGTGGTATTACCCCCTCAACTTTTCCTAAAGTAACCTTAATTTTCTATAAAAGAACTAAGTTTGCTATTTTATAAAAAAAAACATATTACCATTGTTTTGTTAGGGGCATTACTTAAACAAGTAATTTTCAAAATTACCTATACAAGTTATGTTAAACAAACAATGCTGTTTCAAATATTACTTCTATATCATGCATAAGTAACTTCTGTTAATATTATTTTTATAGGTGTCCATTCATACAGGTTTTACTAGCTTAAACAAATTTTCACAGACATCTGGTTATTTTCCCCATGAAATATAAAACTATTTAAATCCCCCTGAAACACTAATTGCCTTTCTGATGCCACACTTCTTGGTCAAAAATTGGTCTCTTGGGGCTATTAAAATATCATTTTCCCTTCAAATCTTAGAGATAGACAGATATAAATAGATGGAACCTTGTGATTTAATTGAGACTTGAAGTTATTTATAATTTGTAATCTTAATCAAAACAATTACATATGTTCCTTAAATAATTGTAAGTACTAAGTTTTCAAAGATGTATAAAATAATTTATAAAAAATAATATTTTTGTCATTATTTTTAAAGTAACCTCTCTATACTCATCTCAAATTGGATAAATATTAAAATAATTCAATGAAATGATATAAAATTCTTAAAAACTACATTTAGTCCATGCTTCTATTGATATTTAAAATAACTATTGAGTTATTAAATAATTTTTAAAAACAAAAAATACCTCTATAATATAAGTAACTAAAAAAAATGACTTGTTTAGTATCGCCCCCTGACTGTTGTTTGTGTCTTGATAACTTTTATGTAGCATACTATATAATATAAACTATATTCAAGTCATATCATCTAATTAAAAATTTGAGAATTTTTGTATTATAAAAAAAGGAATTAAATATAATAAGAAAATATTTAAATGACTTTTACTTTTTGTGGAGACTTGAGATTTCTTCCCAAGCATTACACAGTACTGTTGAAGAATTTCTAATCTATTTTATAGTTTTGTAAAATTTCATGCAAAATGTATTTGAATAGACCAGATGTTTACACAGGTGTTAATTGAGCTTCCTCTATAATGCTTTACTTTCCTTATTATAGAAGTGGTGTAGATTTGATTGACATCTTAATGGATCATGATAATTATTGTCACATAAACTACTGAGAAGAGCCTACTTAAAAAGCTCCGAGCATCCTCCGAGCATGCTCGGAGCTTCCTCGTAAGAATAAATCTATGATCCCTTAACTGTTGGTACCATAACCCCCAAAATCAATCCCCACCTTCCTTTTATGGTATTGAACCTTATGGTAAAATTTTATTGAGATCCATTTACTTAAACTAAAGTTAGAGTGCGAAAACCAATGTGTCTTCAGATGACGACGACGACGCCAACGTCATACCAATATACGACCGCAAAATTTGTTTGCGGTCATATAAAAACAATTTGCACCTTGCATAAGAATCTTCTAAGCATCAACACTAGTATTTTCAACACAGTTTGAGTTTTCATTTCACTATGTACTCATAATACTTGTGTGGCATACACATCAGTTCATGGGCGCTACAAACCATAGCTTAGAAAGCAAAACATATTTGATGTAGGTTGTCTTATTATTACCCTTGCTTATGAAGAACTCATTACAAGAGTTTCAGAAGAAATAAAACTTAAAAATAAAATCCACCCACCCACCCCATTTTTTTCAAAAATCTGGATGAAAATCAACTAACTTATTTTAGTTGGCCTTAAGAGGCTTGCAAAATACTGATAACTTGCACAAAAATACTGTACAATTATAATGTGCACAAAATAACAACCTGTACACAACATTTAACATAAATTTAACTTGCATGTCTATTATGAGGACCATGAAAATAATGCCTAGTCATAGGAAAAGTGGTAAATAAACCAATAAGATGCCTGTAGGACCAACTGACAGGGCATATAAAGCTTGCTATACAGCACAGGTTTGCTCATTGTTGAAGGCTGTATGGTGATATGTGGCTGTTGACATCTTTCTCTTTTGGTTTTGGTGTATAGTTGTCTCATTGGCGATCCTACCACATCTCCTTAATTTCGTATGACTTGTATGGATAACTATCTAATATTTTCTATTTGTTAGTTCTATAAATGTATATCTTAATTTATACTGCACTCGTTCTATTTGAGCAGTCAAAATGCGTTGACCGTATATTTCTATGTCATATACAGTCACTGACCTGATATCACTTTTCCTCATGAATATTTAAATAGAAATAGCCGAAATTATAATTAATTATTCATACGACCTATTCAACCTGTTCTTGTTTCCAATGTATACAACGACGCAAACTTATTTCTTTTACAATTTTAAGAAAAAAAACATATTTCACTTGTTAATTTTTTTGGTTTGCAAACTATAAATCATTATGTTTTATGCTTATATATATAATTATTGTTGATATTTGAGTTCATTCTCAAACAAATTCGTTCACCATCGATTGCAGGTTTCAACAGGTAATGTACATTTCATTGTGTTGTATATTTCTCCACCTGCATGATATGAGGCCTTTTTATAAAAGGGGGTAGTTTCCAAATATTCAAATCAAATAATAACATTAACACATTAAACAACAATTGAAAATGTTTTTTTTTAGATTGCAGTATAAAGACAATAATAGTGCATTGACTTGACATATCAACGATATAAGGATTCGGCCCGAAACGGGGAAAAAGCTTGGCCGAGCCTCGCATTTCCCCGTTTCTAAGCCTCATTCTTATATCGTTGATATGTCAAGTCAATGCACTATTATTGTCTATATAGACCACTGTATTTATAAACATATGCAAATTTGTAATAATTACAAAAATTTTTACCTGTGAAGTTGACCTTGACTTAGGATATTGAGGTACTCGTAAGGGTGATGATGGCCGAGATTTATTTGTTATCTGCTAAGCTTACCTGTGAAGTTGACCTAGACTTAGGATACTGAGGTACTCGTAAGGGTGATGATGGCTGAGATTTATTTGTTATCTGCTAAGCTTACCTGTGAAGTTGACCTTGACTTAGGATACTGAGGTACTCATAAGGGTGATGATGGTTGAGATTTATTTGTTATCTGCTAAGCTTACATGTGAAGTTGACCTTGACTTAGGATATTGAGGTACTGGTAAGGGTGATGATGGCTGAGATTTATTTGTTATCTGCTAAGCTTACCTGTGAAGTCGACCTTGACTTAGGATACTGAGGTACTCGTAAGGGTGATGATGGCTGAGATTTATTTGTTATTTGCAGTTCTGTCTTTACTACTGAGCTAACCACATTGGTAACAGCTGTTGTAATAAGAGAGACAGGTATTGGAGCTGGTAATATCCTGGCTGGCTGGATCGGAATGACAGGAGTTGTTTGTATGTTTGTTGGCTGTGGCAAGATTTGTTGATTTATATGAGCTGGTTGTGGTATTGATGTTACCAATTGACCAATAGATTGGACAAATTGGGGCATGGCACATATTTGAGGTGAGATTGGTTGACCAATAGACTGAGCAGCAAATACAGTTGGAATGAGTTGATTGACAGGCTGGAGTAATAAATGAGCAGGTTGAGACATGGTATGTGCTGCAGGCGGCACTGATGTGATGGCAAGACTTGTGGCTCCAAGTGGGAGGCAAGTAGGCTGCAAGAAAATATATACATTATAAATAAAAAAATCAATTAAGTCATTGAATGCAAAATTAAAATTGTTTTAATCTTCATCACGTGTTCATAGTCTGACTGATCTCTACATTGTCAAATTTGTCAACTATTTAGCAGAATTGAAAAAGTAGCACAAAAGAGGTTTACATTCTATTCCGAGGCCTGAAGCTCCACATGGAAAAAAACTGTTCGTATCTTTTTAATATACTGATGATCTGATCTTAACCTTGCTGGGATTCGAGATATTACATGGGATTGTATTACTGCGGAAATGTTGAGTGAACTATTTCAATATTTTAAATTCCGTGTGGTGAACCAACGCCTGTGAAATCGTTTTGGTAGAGTCCCTGAAGTGGATACCTTGGTATGCCGGGTTGTCAAATCATGCAAATGAATGCAATCCTTAAATAATAATTAAAATTGACAACAACACTTCAAAAGAAAATTTAATTGCAGATCTTTTGAAGTGTTGCTGTCAATTTTAATTATTATTTCAATATTTGTCCTTGATTTGACCATGATATACATTGCCGTTGTTGTATAAAAGATTGTTACAACTTATATCAAATCTTTTTAATCATTACTTGGAATGGTCAACTTAATTCAAATTTTAAGCATTGTTGTTTTTATAAATATCCGGTGTTAAACCAATATCATTCTAGTGGACCCCATGTTAATCAAAGGTCAAGTTACCCAAATAATTAGGATTTCAATGAGTAACAATACAAAACAAAAGCATATAAAGCTGGAGGTAAAAGTCATATGAAATTGACTACTTGAAATGAAATAGGTTAACACTTGTTTGAGTTTTGGTATAAATATTAGTCAAAGGTAGTTCAGGGCTCTCAGCTAAATTTGAAAGAATTAATTGATACTCTGTCAAAAAAGTTTTTACCATGATTTTGGGAAAATTTTTATGAAAACTATATCACACATGACTTGGTATAAACTGTTGGTGGATCCTATGGGAAAATCAGATTGCATGTATCGAATTAATTTATATAGTATTATTTCTTGAGGTTAATACTGTTCTCTGCTGTTTCTGTCACGTTTGTAGTGTATATATATATATATATATACTTTAATACAGCAAGCAGACTAACCCTTCATTAATCATTAATACATATGGAAATAGTAATTTCAATGTTAACTATCACATAACAAGAATAATATTTCACTGAGATATACCTGAATATTCACTTGTGATGACACTGGTGATTTCTTTGTTATAATATCTTTACGCAAACTTTGTACTATAATTCTCTGCAAAAATTTTAATAAATTTATTAAAATAAATATCATAAAAAAATTGCATTTTTTTATAATTGACACTATACTTTTCTAGCTAAATGAACAATTTTACAGTATTTTCTGATGCATTTACAATCTTTTAAAGTGGATTTAATGTAAGTGTTTAACTGTCATCATGGTCATAAGGCCACACCAATTCTATTTCCAGTTCTTTGGATATTCAGGCTCCTGTTATGCAAAAATTAACTTTGTCAGATAATTGATGAGGACAGGTAGTTCTTGAACAGAAAGTGATCCGATATGCTTCCAGTTTTATGTTTAAAGACCAGTTCTATGAAGTCAAAAAGATTTATTTAGAATATTTGGTTTGATGACCACACACACATTGATAAGTTATCTAAACCCTAGTGAGTCAAGAAAGTCTGATAGTGTAGGACAACAATCAAACTGTACAGATTATAACACACGAGTTGCGTCTGATAGAAATTGACCTTATGCAAATGAATATCAATACATCTGTTTACCTATTTCAGGTTGAAAAAGTCTCTACCGAAATTTTGTAGCCGAATGAAAATTGAGTTCTTATAAGACCAAAATCCATCTTTCATTTTGTATTTGAATTTTCCAAAACCAATCAAAGTCTTATTCATGTAAATGTATACATGCACTTGCATTAGGTCGATTTCTATCCAATGCAGCTCATATATGTTATCTTCCTTGTTGATTAGTTAAGAATGATTGATTGTTGGTGTTTGACACCACTTTCAGCACGATTGGCAATATTGTGGCAGCCATTTTTTATTGTTGGAGGAAGCAGGAGTAAAGTAAAATAATAATAGGGTCACCAACTTCCTTTTTTCAGTATTCGTCTGTCAAAGTGGTGTTCTAAGTAAAAAAAATACCACAAAATGCCCAAATAAGCATCATCACATTGCAAGCTGTAAATACATAGATTTTATAAGTTTTTCCATTAACAACTAGGTAACAGATAAAAAAAAAAGCCTATGAGACACTGATTATCTTATATCAATCAAACAGAAATTTGTGTATCAACAACATATTAATTTACAAGAAAAATAAATGCATTGGTTTTAGAGTTTTTATGACTATAAGATAAATTTACGAACGTTTAACACCAATTCTATGTGCTTTCTACACAAATGTTTACCTATTTTGAAAGAATTCTGTCACTAATATTTTAGAAAATAAGACATAAATGCATTTATTTTTCTAATTTTCAGTTCAAGTTTAAAATACCACAGCTGAATGCAAAAATCTGTGACATGACCCATTTCCTTTAACTTGACCTTAACAGCAAGGTAGGAAGAAGTAAAGAATCTTTCTTTAAATATTTGTGTCATTAAAAAAATGCATCTCTTTCTTGTAACTATTTATAAGTGATTTCAGACTATACATACACCTGTTCTATGATTGTAAACAAATGAAATGTAACAACATAAAGGGTGTCATATGTGGAGCAAGATCTGCAAACCCTTCCTGAGCACTGGAGATCACTCCTGGTTTTTTATGGGGTTCGTGTTGCTCCTTCTTTAGTTTTCTGGGTAGTGTTTTATAGACAGTTGTTTGTTTTTAATTTTGTTTTCTGCCAGGGAGTTGTTAGTATCTCTTTGATTTCTGAGTTTTAATATCCCTTTGGTATCTTCCGCCTCTTAATAAAAACATAAGACTGACTAATCACGTTAATGGGATGTAATTAATAATTTACAAATTAAGTTAAGGTGGTGCAAATTTAAGCTCTTCACAAATGTAAATTTTAATAGAATTCAATTTTTTTAATCTGTTTTTCTGAATAACAATGTTTTAAAATTTCTTGTAATTCAGATTAATCAAAATTTCATTTTTCTTCAATATCCAAATTAAATTACCTGTTTTTCACTTAAAACTGTAATCTGTTTCTGTAAATCACGAAGTTGCGTTTTCAGCTCCACATTCTATAAAGAAATACATAAATTATCACTTGTGTAAGTGTAACTGGAAAATAAAAACTTTGTCCAACAAAAATCAATAAATACCCAAGCATACAGGATTCCATAAAAAATACATTAATTTCCTTACCTGTAGGTCAGCCTTTATTTTGGAAACCAGGATCTGAAATTATAAAAAAAAATAAAATACAGAATAATTCATATTTTACTTATTAATTAATTGTAAAGCTGTGTTGACTATCCATGATAGTGTAATGTGACGTGCGCATTCATATAGTCACTCATACGAAACGACACAGAAATAAATGGTTATTTTTGGGAAAATACACAAATAAAACCAACGAAACAATTAATAAATAAATTTCATGTTTAACCGATTACAAAAGAATTTACAATGAAATTAATAGCAATAAATCTTCACTCGATGCAATATTTAATACACAACTTTGTTTTGCGATATGAAAATAAGAAAGTTACATTTGAAAACCATTGGTTGTTTTTACCTGATGATTTTGAATAGCTGACTTCAGCTGCACTTGAATTAATTCTAGCTCTGGAGTTGTCATCATAGATAAAATCAGAATTAACTGAAATATTTTCCTTTGGCCTAAATTATTTTTTTTCCTTAAAAACAAGAAATTACACAGAGCAACACATCACGGGCACATAACGATCACTGACCTCTTCCGTTTTGCGGAGAATGCGCTAAAGTTTCTTTAAAATTTAAACATAGGCATATATAGTTATATTAATATTGAAGTTATTGACCACTGATATATAAGAAATATGAGAAGTTGTTGAAATTTACCTTATAATTAAACCTAAAAAAAATTTGCATAGAATTATTTGAATATGCGTAAGCATCGGCAGCCGAAGCACACTTCTCCACTCCGTGAAAACGTGTTAGCGAATACAATCTGGAGAACGGTCGTTGTTTAATCCGTTGAAATTAATAATGATTTATAATTAGCCACATCCTTGTATTAGCATATAAATGTTCCTTAATACACTTAATCTGATATATTCTTAATTTGTTAATCCAAAGTTAATTGGACATTTCCTATTTCCGTGTTTTTGAAGATAAGATATTGTATTATGTCACACTGACAATGGTTTACTGTGTGTGTAATGAAGCTAATCAACATTTTGTGTCATTGTATTTTTGCAAAACTTACAGGTAGATCACTCTATATCAAATCTTGCCAAAAAGCCAGTGAAGACAATCATTTGTTATTTGTCCCAAATATGACCATTACAGAGAACAAATTTGTATTAGTGTATTTTTGGCTATATATCATTCATGTAAAATACATTGCTGCAATAAAGCATTACACGCAACTCTGAAAAACCACCACTTGTTGCTAAAAATCTTATCAAGCGGTCGAATTGAACTCAACCCAGGCCCAAAAATGCCACACTGGCCCTGTGGTTCATGTGGAAAATAATGTCACTTGGAAATGTAATTAAAGCTTTACCGTGAGTGCGACTCTTGTAAAACTTGGTACCATGTAGACTGTCAAGGAGGTATGCAAACAACAATGTATAACATAATGAACAACAGTAACCTGTCCTGGAATTGTATTAAATGTGGTCTCCCAAACTTTAGCAGTTCATTTTTTAACCATACTGAATTATCATCATCTGTCACAAACAATTCTTTTTCGTTATTAAGTTACATTGGTAGTCCTGGACAGCCCCATGCTTGTTCATCAACAATCTCACAAAAGGACAACAGAAAAAAAAAGTACAGTTACTTAGACCTTTAAAATGGTAAATATTAACTTCCAGTCTATTAAGAACAAAAAACCAGAAGTAGATATTTTGATCGATACCACACAGCCTGATATAATAAAAGGTACTAAAACCTAGTTATAGATCCTAAAACATCGTCATATGATAAAATTGAGAATGGAAATGGAAATGTGTCAAAGAGACAACAACTCGACCAAAGAACAAAAAACAGCCGAAGGCCACCAATGGGTCTTCAACACAGCGAGAAAATCTCGCACCCGGAGGCGGGCTTCTGCTGGCCCCTAAACAACAATGTGTACTAGCTCAGTAAAAATGGACGTCATACTAAACTCCAAAACATATAAATGAACTAAAATAAAAAAAAAAACATACAAGACTAACAAAGACCAGAGGCTCTTGACTTGGGACAGGCACAAAAGATCAGTACACAGTATTTAGAAAAGATAGACCACCAAATAAAAAGGGCAATGTCATGGAGGCGTACTCACTAGACACGGGATAATATGGGTAGAACTATATTGATATCAAATGTATTATCGACCTCAACCAGATGATGTCACATCCTTAGATTTTCTAAATGAATCATTAAGTAGAATAAACGTCAGCTCAAAGTCAGCCATAATTATAGGAAACATCTAGTTTCATCCCTGGAAAAACAAACTAAAAACAACATCAGCATTTTTAGACATAATAAATGACCATTCATTAACACAAGTTGTAAACATATTAACTCGAAATATAAAATATTAGATCTTGTGTTAACAAATTATCCAGCCGTTATACTGAAAAAACTGAAACCATGCATCCATTAGGAGAGGCAGACCATGATATTGTATATAGAATGCATGTTTACTATCACTAAAAAGATGCCAAATCAAGACACGTACAATCTATAAATATAAAAACGCAAACTGGTAAAAATAAAAGAGGATATAGATGAAATATATCAAGATGTCATGCATAAAAAGGATAGTGAAGATACAAATACACTTTGGATAATATTTAAAAATTCTTTGCAAAAACCTATCTCTGAGAACATACCACAGAAAATGATGTGACACAGCAAAAAATTACCTTGGATAACAGATAGTCTTAGAAGACACCTAAAGTTAAAGCTCATGCATTCAAAGCTCTTGTCCGACCAAAATTAGAGTACTTCTCAACCATTTTGGATCCACATCTAAAACAACAAATTTCACAAATTGAAAAAGTTCAGAGAAGAGCAGCCCGCTTCACATGCAACCGCTTCCACAACACCAGCTCAGTAGTTACTGATATGATGACAGACCTAAATTGGTATCCACTTGACATTAGGCGATTAAGATACAGACTTGTTTTCTTCTACAAAATTATACACGGAATTGTTTCAGTCCCTACATTTAACCTTTTGATCCCACTAGACAATAGAACTAGACATAGCAATACACACTCTTTTAGGCAAATACAAACATGTAAAGACAGTTATAAATATTAATTCTATCCGCGTACAGTTATAAATTGGAATCATCTGCCACAACAAATTGTTTCATGCAGTACAGTACAGAGTTTCAAGAGTATGATGCCAGAATCTGCTATAATGCCTATTGCCTACCTTTAACTGTTATGGTTATCAAAGGTATATAGTTTTATCTAAATGTTATTTTTCAAATGTACATATATCATTTTTGATTTTTTTTTCTGGTTACCTTGTAAATCATTAATCAAATTTTTAAGTCGACGCCCGGCGAATAATCTGCAATGAATGAAGAATCGCTAGAAACTTAAAGAGCAAGTAGTATAAATCCAAACACTCGGATTGCTACTAGATAAACAATAAACAATACAAATATTTCAACCCCGCCACATTCTGTATGTGCCTGTCCCAAGTCAGGAGCCTGTAATTCAGTGGTTGTCGTTTGTTGATGTGTAACATATTGTTTTTCGTTCATTATTTTGTACATGAATTAGGTCGTTAGTTTTCTAGTTTGAAATGTTTTACATTTGTCATTTCGCGGCCTTTTATAGCTGACTATGCGGTATGGGCTTTGCTCATTGTTGAAGGACGTACGGTGACCTATAGTTGTTAATTTCTGTGTCATTTGGTCCCTTGTGGAGAGTTGTCTCATAGGCAATCATACCACATTTTCTTATTTTTATATGTGACATCAGGAACATATATATTAGATATACTGTTCCCAGGTAACATTGACAAAAAATATCAAAATGTTAGATGACATGCCTCCCCTTTAAATTGGCATACAAATGATTATATTTAAAAGAAATGCTGATTAACTCTATTCTATTTTCCCCATTACTCATTGAAATAAAACTAGGAACAATATCAGAAATTTCATAAAACATTTTCCGAAATTGAGTTATTGAGTTGTGTACACATTATTGAAAAAGTACATTGATTTTCCCAAACATGAGAAAAATTTAATTTGGATAGTAAAACTTTAATTTTTGAAGCAAATCAATCAAGTATTTGCTGGATAACTTTATAAACATCATATAGTAAAGACTCCCTTTTGAGTTTGAAATATGCAGCCAGAATCCTATAGAAGACTTAAGCGGCCGAGCCTGAATACCAATGGGGAACATTCCTAATTCAGCTAATTCTGAGTTGGCATTAATATAGACAGTCCGAGTTGACTTTAAAGGCGGTCCGAGTTGACTTATTGACGGTTCGGGTTGTCTTTTTGTATCCTTGTAAATATTTGTTAAGTGTTAAACCTATATCCAAAGTGGGAGTGCTTCGATATATAACGGAGGGTCATACCTGTACAGAACAGAACAGAACAGAACAAACGGTACGAGCTGTCTTCGGACCGAGTTGTCTTTCACCCGTTATAATTCGATCCTGTCTTTTGTGGAGCACCACAACCTTTGTTGCCCGAAACGTTTTCTTGGACTACTTTTTTTCAAAATCAATTATTTTTTTTTATTTTTTTATGAATGTTCACACACAAAAATGAAAGAAACTAAAGCAAAAGAAAATAACAAACAAATTACAAAAACTTTTTTATTTCAGTTCGATAAATTTAAGATTTACTTTAAAATTTTTCCGAACAGTTTTCCTTTTACTTTGGCGTATTTATTTTCAACATGTCAGCCTCCATAGGGATCATTCTTCAAAAAAATTAACTGGAGAAATATTGAAACAAGACACGGTATATGTTAGAAGAAACTAATTTTTGTTAGTTTTTCGTACAAACAGTAGTTGATTACAGCACAGATTATATTCATTTGAAAGTACTATATTGTAACGAAGCCGTGTGAACTACTGCTTTTCTCTAAGGTTCAAAAGAGGCATTTGACTGGCAAATATGGCCGTTTTTACACAAAAAAATATACTCTTTTTAAAGACAAATCAGTGCAACTGGAAGAGTTTTAAAGCATGGCACGATCTAGATAATTAAAATGAAATTGATTAATTTATGATTCATAAATAAAAAACTTTCTCTGCTTTTTCTTTCTATCATGTATTAAAACTACATGTGACGGGATAGAGGGGGAACAGCAGCTCTAAGTTCCTTATGATTTTCTTTGACATTGCGGAACATCTATGGACCTAAGGTCTTTGGTTCCACAGCTAGTGACGGGATTGTTTCCTTTGCATAGAACATACTAAGCCAGCAGTACTAGGTTTGGGTATGGAAATGCTTCTTTAGATCAGTCAAAACTAGCGCTGACTTAAAACACGTTTGGAATTCAAAATTTTCCAATTCTAAGGGTGGATACTGAAGCTGTTATCGTATACATTTACCCACTGATTTGATGGAATCCGGGTCCGTTCGCGCCCATTCACGTTCGCCCCCTTTCACGTTCGCACCCCGGGTCCGTTCGCACCCTACACGTTCGCACCCTTTTTATTGATTTTGTCTTAAATAATTTTTCAATCGTATTTTGGTTAGTGTATTGCTATAAATAATTTTTTTGTTCATTGTTTTAAAATGAAGTGACTTTCTAAAAACGATTTTTGTGTTGAATAATTTTTTAATCGTGTTTTGGTTATTGTATTGCTATAAATAAGTTTTTTTTCATTGTTTCAAAACATGCAAAATAAAGTGACGTTTTTTGTGTTGAATATCTTTTTAATCGTGTATTGCAATATTTTTTTTTTCATTGTTTCAAAATAAAGTGACTTTCTAAAAAGTTTTTTTTGTGTTGAATATTATTTTAATGTTAAGATACCAAACCGCTTTAAACTCAACAACAATAACATTTTGAATCTTAATTGTTTTTACTCATACCAAGTTAAAAACATGCTAATATAACTACATGCAGAATTTACATCAAGTTTAGCTGTGTAAACACCATATATAATTAACAGTAATCATACATAATTAACATATAATAATTAATCATCAAATCAATTTAAAACAATATTTCATTTAAAAAATTTAAAAATTGCCGAATTTTTCTTTATTTTGAGATAAACATCTTAAAAAACATCTTATAATTCATCGGGTTTTTGAATAAAAAAAAAAGGGTGCGAAAGGACCCAGGGGGCGAACGTGTGGGGTGCGAACGTGTAGGGTGCGAACGTGTATTGGGCGCGAACGGACCCGATACCGATTTGATGTAGTGGGGTGACACGTCCGATGGACATTATCACTCTCTGTGTCTGTCACTTATAGATAAGTCCAAATATCCCCCCTCCCTAATGTTGCAAATGATCTGACTTGGTCTATTGAAGATTCTATCTTGCCCAGGGGGCATTTTGCCAAAAAATAAGAATTGTGGCAATTAAAATTCATTATTGGCGAAAAAAGTGCCAATACAAATTTGTACTTAACATCAGATGAAATTTAATTAAAATATTCAAAATCAAGACTTAACTAAATTTTAAATTTCTTTTAGATTACCTTAAACTAAAATATGGCAAAGAGACGAGCGGATAAAGAATTAACTGACAGAAATTGGGACGAGGAAGATGAACCAGAAGAGGTAATAGTAATTTAGTGGTTTTACTTACTCTGTTGGAAATGACTTTATTTGGAGTCCTTGCTAGTAACTGCATGTCAGTTTAGTTAAAAAAATAATGCAAGTTACACAGTTATTGCACGTTAAAACCGGTCTTGCTGTTTATATATACTTTTGCATAAAACAACAAGTGGAGTGTTGTCTCATTGGCATTCATACCACTTCGTCTTTTTTTTATAAGACTGATTAATTATCACTGATCACAATTGTCTCCCTATGGAAAAGTTTTAAATCGTGGCAAAACAAAACAAAATTTTTGTGTAGATTTTCTCAAAATTGTGTTTTGGGGCTTTTAACAGGACCATGATCATGCAATCAGGGCAATGGGTCAAACTCATGTAGATTACGCCTAAATTGTGAAAGTTGGCAGGTATGTACATGTTAACATGTACCATCTGTCAATAATGTTATATGTAAATATAACTTATAGAATAGAAAATGGAAACAGTGAATGTGTCACAGTCAGAGAGACAACAACCCGTACAAAGAGCAGGAAACAGTCCAAGGCAAATAATAGTTTTTCATTGCAGCGTGAAAATCCTGCACCCGGGGGTGGGCTTCAATTGGCCCCTTAATAATTATGTATACTAGTTCAGCGAAATGGATGTCACACTAAACTCTGAAACATATAATTGAACTAAAATTAAAAAACACAGAAGACTAACAAAGGCTAGAGGTTCCTTACTTGGGACAGGCGCTTAAATGTGGCTGGGTTAAACATGTTTTATGTGATCTCAACCCTCTCCCTGTACCTCTAGCCAATATGGAATACACAAACACACAGCAATACGCACAATTAAACTCAATTTAAGAGAAATCTGAGTCTATGATAGAATAGGTAACAGAAGAAACTAAGCAAAATGACAATGATCAAAATACATTAACAAATTGACATGCCAGCTCCATACCTCAATTAAACTGATTGAAAGATTATGTCTTCAGCTGATGAAAATCAACCAAAATCCCTCCTGTTAGGGGTTTATTATCAAGCCATCATAAATTATATGAGAAGAACATAACCTGTGTCATGCTGACAATTATTATATAAACCAAACTGTATTATTTTGATTGTCTTTTTGGGAGGAAAAAACCCAGTCCTTTTTTAACAACAGATGCAACAAATACATGTAGGTAAGAACAATGTAGAAGAGGTATTGTGTCACAACAACTCCCACTGTAATAACTCATATTCATAGTTCTCAATTAAAAATGATAGAATTTTTTAATAAAAGTTCTTCGCCAAAATGTAGCTAATATCATGCAATCAAAAATATGATAAAAAGAATGGGTCACAACCTTTTTTTAAAGCTCCAGGTTGTCCAAAATAAGACAAATAACAAAATTTTCTTCATTTAAATGAAAAGTCTTACATATACAAATGAATTACATTCTTGTCTCAAAATTTGCACATTTTCTAAAAGATCTACACAAGTTATTTTTCTGCTATTTTACTACCCAAGATTAGGAATACCCATGGCCATATACCACTGTAAATACATTTCCTACATGTAATCATGTATGTATGTAAAATTAATTCAATCATAAAGTAGTTCAAATAATGAGTTTCTTATTCGAGTACTTTACATGTATCTTCTGGTATACCTGAAAACATGTAGTTGACTGCAAAATTATGTCACGTATAATTTAACCGTCTTTAACATTGTATTTATAACTTTGAATATTGTTGAATTGCAGGCAGGTGAAATCCAGCTTGCCACTGAAGAATCATTAAAAGGAAGACAAATTCTGAAAGGAAAAAGAAGAGGTGCAGCTCCAGTTCAGGTATTATACCAGTAACTTGAAGTTGAAGAATATTGTAATAAGATAATAACCATCTCTTTCTCCTTGGTTTCTCATCAAGAGTGCTGGAGGTTGTGGGTTCTATCCTTGGCAGAGTCAAACCAAAGTCTTGAAAAGAGGTATTTGCTGCATCTCCACCTTGCACACAGCATTTAGGAGTTAGATCAAAGACCGGTCAGATTAACGTGTAAAGGTAGGGTGACACGTCTTCCTGCGGATTGTTACCTTGATCTTTTAAATTCTTTGTTAAAGAGATATATGCATTGATACAAAATAAAAATATACATTGTGTAGGTATTTAAGGGGAGAGTGTGAATGGCAATCACTTTATTTTAAAGTAAGATATTACAGTTGATGAATTTTGTATGATATTTATATCTGAAAGGATAATGGCCAGTAGTGGAGTATATGTATTTTCTCCTTCTTGTTCAATAGCTTAATAATTATATTAACAGTAGAACTTAATATGATGAAAATAAGCAAAGCTTTCCACATTAAAAGGAAAAGTATTTCACATTTGTTGTCTTTCCCTTTGTTAATATCACTCTGCTCAGTTGCTCTATAGTTCTTGTATCACAGCTTTGAGATGTGAGCAGAACTTATCCGCCACTTCATGATGTGTGAGGAGACGGTATCTTGCTAACTTCCCTCAAGTGTAAAAATTCTCTATGAGAGGTGGCAAAGACCAGAAATAGCAGGGGTATTGGATTTTCTGCACATAGAAATTGTAAAATATCAGTTGCCTAACACAATGTGAAGCCTTTTAGCTCATTTAATGTGCTCAATTGCCAAAAAGATACATGTTGTGGCTCGCAGCTAATTTTTATGATATCAATGTGTTGAAACCTTGGTAATCTCCTGATATCCTGTCTCTATAGTAATTTTAACATTATGTTTTTATGTCATAGTTCATTTCTGGGTCCTTTTCAAGGTGCACATTGAAGATCTTGTTGATATCTATAAAATCGCAGACAATGTTTGGGAATACAAAGTAAGGGTTAAAGCGTTGAGATTTAATATACTGTTTACATTTTTTGCTTACATGTATATATGGTGAAAAATTATAACATCACAGCACAGGATCTTAAAATAATTGACAATTTTTGTTTAAAACTGATAAGATGTGTAGAGTTTTGATAATTCCTAATATGTTAATATCTCTTATATAAATAGAAAATGATTTGAGTTTTTATTTATTTATATTTTTTCCCTTTCATCAACTTATATTTGCAATTTCAGTCATAGATTTAATATTTAACACCTTTCTTTGTTTTTAGAACAAAGATTTCGCTGGTTTTTCTGGTTTTAGTTTCAAACCCACAGCAGCTAGTACACCATTCTCATTCAATGTCAGGTCAGTCACTAATGGCGGTTCTGATAAAGACCAAAAACAAATGGAGAAATCAAAAGAATCTGAAAATGGACAAGCAAAGACTCTTACAGCATCAAATGGTGCCGAGAAAAAGAAAGGATCTTATTTGTCAAGTTTGAAAAATTTGAATGAAAGTGTTTTATCATGGATAAAAAGTCACGTTGATAAGAACCCATTTTGTATATTGACTCCTGTATTTAATGACTACGAGAAACATTTAGAAGAGATAATGAAAAATAAAGATGGAGAGAAACATTTAGAAGAGATAATGAAAAATAAAGATGGAGAGAAAACAGAAGATAAATCAAAAGGAGAAACAGACACAAGTAAGTCCAGTAAAATCACTGTAGATTCAGCAGTCTTTATATCTGGTATACAGTGGATTCAGTATTATTTGGGGCCTCGGTGGCCAAGTGGTCTAAGTAGTCGAATTACTGTATTATTTGGGGCCTTGGTGGCCTAGTGGTCAAAGTAGTAGAACTACTGTATTATTTGGGGCCTCGGTGGCCGAGTGGTCTAAGTAGTCAAACTACTGTTTATTTGGGGCCGAGTGGTCAAAGTATTCAAACTACTGTATTATTTGGGGCCTCGTTGGCCGAGTGGTCTAAGCAGTCGAACTACTGTATTATTTGGGGCCTCAGTGGCCGAGTGGTCTGAGTAGTCGAACTACTGTATTATTTGGGGCTCGGTGGCAGAGTGGTCTAAGTAATCGAACTACTGTATTATTTGGGGCCTCGGTGGCCGAGTGGTCTAAGTAGCTGAACTACATTATTATTTAGGGCCTCAATCCACGAAAATTGGTACCAACAAAAATAAATGAATCCACAGTAGTCCCAAAATCTATTAATATTCAATGAGAAACCTTGTTTAACTACTGAAATTTCAGAAATCTTTCTAAAGTCACAATCTTTTTGTTTTGTTTTAGTAAGTAGATAGCAGAAATAATTGTCCATATTAAACTTTACTCACCATAAAAGATTGTAACATACAATCCATTGGTGTTTATTGCCTAATTTACTGAGATGCTATGCCAACAAGCATGACAAGTGATGATGAATATTTTTGAAAATCTTTTAAATTGTTGTTTTTTCTTCTTCAATTTCACAAAGATATAGTAAAAAAAAAATAATATTAATGTTAGAATATGTATTGAATGAAACATTTTTGTTTTGCCATGACAATAATCTGTTTCCTGCGCTACAATCAACAATTTTGCTGTTGTATAAGCATTGGCACACCTCAATTTCATAGAGAATATTAGGCCCAATCCTTTCAGTCATGGATTATAAAATTGGCTTTGAACATTTTGCATAGTTTACGTGTTGGACATGCACTATAAAAAGATTTTTTTCATAATTTTGATTGAATGGTACATGTACCATATTGTAATATTGTTACATTGAAACATTGAAAATTATACATACTACATGTTATTGTAAATGTTTTCTTTATTTTCTTTCATTTAACTGTGGTATATGTATTTTGGTATAAAGAATGTCATATTCTTTGACTAAACTTTGCCTATAAAGCAGCCTACTCATTTGTGTAAATAATCTTGATTTGAAATAAACTGTTCCTGACCCATAGTAGATGTCTAATTTGCTTGTATGATTTATGACCTGTTTTTTTTTTTAATTAGTAATTTATTATTTTTTCAGAAACAGCTCCAACTTTTCCACTTGGAAATTCTTTAATGTCACCAACATCTTTAACAACAGAAAGCAAGCCATCTGCTGCAAGTTTTGCATTTGGTAATTCTAATTCTAAAACAGCAACTACTACAGAGACCAAACCATTGGGAACAGGTTTTCAGTTTGGTTCCAGCTTAACTAAAGCAACTGGGTTTGGTTCTATTCCAACCACTACTGCAGCCTTTGGTACCAGCTCAACTACAACAACTGGATTTGGGACCAGTTCAACAGCTACTGGTTTCTCAGGGTTTAATTTCAAGTCTTCCACAGAGAGTAAACCTTCATCTGGTTTCTCTTTTGCTGTAAACAAGCCAGCTGGAGAAAGTGGTGCTAGTCAAGGTATGTTTCGCTATATATACTTGCGCCTGGTTTTAAATTACATTGAAAATCAAGAGAAGTGTTGTGGTGTTCAATCAGATTGAAATGCAGATCCTGTATCCATGGTTATAATCCATTATGTTTTCTATGATTAAGATAATCAAAACTTGATGTACAAAGTGTACATGTACTAACTCAAAGTTTAAAATAATTGGAACTTATTTTTAGCTCACCTAACCCAAATAGTTTACAATAGCACATAAGAATAAAATAAAGTTTTGTCTAGGGGCAGAAATGTTCAGATCTAACACCTGTCCATTCACACAAAAAATTATGAAAAAGATAATTAAAATAGGAAAAATTATCAGCAAGACAAAATCTAAAAAATTGTCAACATAGCCAAAAATGTTGGTTGACTGTATAAAGCAGTAATTGCCCCTAAATGATGATAATTAGCAATTTTTTTTGTAATTTGTACATTTGTATTTTATCATGAAAACTATAATAGCTAGAGAGAAACTTTAAATAGCAAATGAGAACATCTACACATAAGTCAACATGGTAGAAATTGTGAGACAACAACTTATAGGAGTCATTGCCCTTAAATGATGTTTTTTTTACAAATTGTTTGTATTTTTGCCTATTATTTTGAAAACTATAATAGATAGAAAGGATCAGATAACCTTACATTTAAGTCATAACTCTGTATTTGTAAAGTAGCCACCAGCAGTTGGTGATTTGCTGTTCAAGGTATGCTGGAGTGATTAAGCAATATGTGTTTCCCTTATTATTGATGATGAAAGTCCCAACCTTGTAGAACGACAAAAGAGAAATAAGGAACAGAGCCTAAGACCACCATTCCAGAGACTGAGTCATTTAGTAAAGATTGAAGTGAATCTCGTTATTAGTCAAATTTGAGTTAATGGTGTACATATTTAAGCTAGACAGACAGACAGAAGATGGTTTACCATAATATCTTTGTTCTTGGTGGTCTTATATAAAGCATTCAGTTTATTTTTTTCTTTAACTTTTAGAAGAAGATGATGAATATGTACCCCCTCAAGCAGAGTCTAAAGAGGTTCCAGAGGAGGGATCAGTTCACTCCATCAAGTAAGTAGTATCTTTATTTTCACCCATCAGGCAACACAATTTTAAGTACTGTAAATTCAGAAACTATTGTGTGCAATTATTATATATATTGCGATTTTTATAGAATGGACAAAAATGTGAGATTATTTATTGCTATTTTAGGAAAAGCTGTATACAGATCTATGTATCAGATATCAGAATGCCAGATCTTATTGTTGCGATAATCTCCAAGTCGCATTATTCACATTAATAAAAACCTCGCATTAATTTCTGAATTTACAGTAATCAAGTGTGGATCATTCGAATACATCTTGTAAATTTTATTTATACATTCTATAGGGTTTTAATAACAGAGAATTGATCAGTACAATCTCTCTAGTAAGTTTTATCTATAAACCATAAAGGGATTTAATAAAGGATGGACATGTACAAGTACAATCCGTCTAGTAAGTATCTTAATACCAGACAGAGTTCTAAAAATTTCTTATCTTATACATTTCTTTAAATCCATATTCATTCATGTACAGGGAGTTGTAATGTTGTATGTACACAATTTTAAACAGAGCTGTGAGGTTTCTGCCATTTATGAAATATATTATAGTATTTATTAGAAGTGCACATTCTTAATGGAAAAACATTGATCAAAACTCTGCAATAGACTATTTGAAATGTATTGAAATAGCCTGATACATTCATAGTAATACTGTAAGTCATATGAACAAATGAATTGTATCCCTTTTGTTTGGTCACATATTTGAAGGTTTCAATATACATTTATTGTATGTTTTAGGAAAGGTGAATGACTGAATGTAGTTTTAAATATCACACAGATTTCATTGTATTTTCTCAATAAAAAATCTATTTATAGATGTAAGCTGTTTTATCAGAAAGATGGAGCCTGGACAGAGAGAGGTGTAGGATTTTTACATCTGAAGATAATTGATGAAAAGCTGCAACTTGTAGTCAGAGCTGACACTACCCTAGGTAAGAAATATATTCTTCTATAGCATTGATTGTTTTTGTTAGATGGTTTTAGTAACATGCACAGATAGCTTGCCTATAGTCATGATTTAACGTAAATACTGATGCGTTCTAAAAAAAATTGACATTGCAGAGTGCCGGAGTACATTTTATTATCCCAGCTTAGTTTATTTCTCAGATTTTGATTGGATAATGACTCGTTAAAAAAATCCATAGCCCAGGTGTTGCTAACCCAAATACTGGTTCTTGCTACCCATTACCCGGGGAATTTCACATGCGTTATCATTAGTTCAGTGGTTGTTCTTAGTGAAAAATTAGAGATTATCCATGATGTCTGTAATTAAATATGTAATCTACTAACGATTTTATCCTATTATGATGACCATAGGCATTTGTTTGTATATTGGTATCACGTCGTCTGAGTCGTCCGAAGACATTTGGTTTCCGGACAATAACTTTAATATAAGTAAATAGAAATGTATGAAATTTAAACACAAGGTTTATAACCACAAAAGGAAGGTTGGGATTGATTTTGGGGGTTATGGTCCTAATAGTTTAGGAATAAGGGGCCAAAAAGTGGCCCAAATAAGCATTTTTCTAGTTTCCAGACAATAACGTGTGGAATGTTGTATGGATCTCTCTGAAATTATATCACAAGTTTCCATACCACAAAGGGATGGTTAGGATTGGCTTTTGGGGGTTAAGGCTCAAACTGTTTAGGAATTAGGGGCAAAAAAGGGGGAAAAACAAGGGTTTCCTGGTTAATGGACAATTACTTTAAAAGTACAATGTTGTGTTTGAATTACCTCCCTTGCACTGCTTTTAAATTATGTATAAAGAAATGTTGTATTGTCTTGAGGTGATTAGCTGTCAATTTATTTTTAGAACTTACTGTTTTAAAAATGCTGATTAAGGTGTATTAATTTAAAAAATTTTAAAAAACCTTAGGGCTGTTCCAGAAATAATTTTAATGGGGGCGGAAGGCACTTTTATGAAACTTTGATGAGTGGTGATTATTTTTGAAAGATAGCCTGAACAATTATAGGAAATGATCTGTCAAAATTGTATGCATGGTGGGGTAAAATAAAAAGTGCCTTCCAACCCCTCAAATACATTTATTTCTGGAACAGCCCTATCAGAAGACACCATAAGTGCCTTCCAATCCCTCAATACACTTATTTCTGGAACAGCCCTATCAGAAGAGACCATAAGATGAAAATATATCTGACAAATCCAGAACGTTTCAAAAATGTTCATACCATATCCCAATTGTACTATGTAATTTTTGTCTTGCCTGCGACAAAAGTCGCAGAAAGTGAGACATAGGTATTACTATGCGGCGACGGCGGCGTAAACTATTTGTATAAAGCTTTATATTTCAGAAGGTAGAAGACCTGGATGCTTCATACTTTGTATGCAGATACCTTATGTTACGAACTTTCCGTCTGTCATATGTCCAATGTCCTTGACCTTATTTTCATGGTTCAGCGACTGCTTGAAAAAAAAGTTTAGTTTTTTTGTTATGTAAATTTCTCACTTATTATGAGTAATAGGATAACTATATTTGGTATATGGGTTCCTTGCAACGTCTACATGTCCATCAGACAGGGTTCACCTGACCTCAGCCTCATTTCATGGATCAGTGATCAAGGTTAAAGTTACGTGATTAGGTCCGTTTCTCAGATACTACAAGCAGTAGGTCAGCTATATGTGGTGTATGGAATGATTATAAGGGATACATGTCAGTCTGGCAGGTTTCATCTGACCTTGACCTCATTTTCACGGTTCATTGGTCAATGTTAAGTTTTTGTGTTTTGGTCTGTTTTTCTAATACTATAAGCCATTGGTCAACTATATTTGGTGTATGGAATGATTGTAAGGTGTACATGTCTGTCTGGCAGGTGTCATTTGTCCTTGACCTATTTTCATGGTTCATTGGTCAATGTTAAGTTTTTGTGTTTTGGTCTGTTTTTCTAATACTATAAGCAATAGGTCAACTATATTTGGTGTATGGAATGATTGTAAGGTGTACATGTCTGACTGGCAGGTGTCATTTGTCCTTGACCTCATTTTCATGGTTCATTGGTCAATGTTAAGTTTTTGTGTTTTGGTCTGTTTTTCTAATACTATAAGCAATAGGTCAACTATATTTGGTGTATGGAATGATTGTAAGGTGTACATGTCTGTCTGGCAGGTGTCATTTGTCCTTGACCTCATTTTCATGGTTCATTGGTCAATGTTAAGTTGCTCTTGTTTGGTCCTCTTCTCAGATACTATAAGTTATAGGTCAACTATATGTGGTGTATGGAATGATTGTAAGGTGTGCATGTCTGTCTGACAGGTTTCATCTGACCTTGAGCTTATTTTCATGGTTCATTGGTCAATGTTAAGTTTCTGTTGTTTGGTCTTCTTCTCAGATGCTATAAGTAATAGGTCAACTATATTTGGTGTATGGAATGTATTTTATTATTTAACTGCTGATTACTTACATTGAAATAGATTATTTTATAAAAATCTTTAAATAACATTAATAATGATAATAAATAATAAAAACTTTTAAGGGATCATTACTAAACCGTGATTAACAAAAACATTGGAAGGTGTGAAAATGTTAAAACAAGGTCACTCATGCATGAATGTTTAACATAGAATACAGTTCACTCCAGTCCCTTCATAAAGATTAATTGGCTGAATATGTACAGATTTTACATTTCTGAGTTATGGGGTTTTATTCATTAAAAAAGGGGGGATTTTCCAGTTTTTGGACAACAACTCAAAAATGCTTTAAGCAGTTCGCATGAAACTTTGGTGAATTATTTATAGCTATTGATGTAATCTCCCTATTGATTTTCATAAATTTCAAATATGACATCGAGAAGAAATTGAACTTTATTTGTTTATAGTCTGGCAACAGATTTATTAAGTATTGCGCAACAGCACAGTGTATTTCACAACAGCAAGAAATCTTAAATTGAATATAAATTCAATTCATATAACCGATTTCAAGTTCTTTGACTACATTTATTCAGAAACTATAATATGTCAAATATTTAATTACAATCCAAATTCAGACCTGTATCAAGCTTGAATGTTGTGTCCATTTTTGCCCCAACTGTTCAGGGTTGGACCTCTGCGGGTGTATCCAGCTGCGCTCAGCGAATCAGTTTGTTTCTTAATTAAGAACTCCTTTTTGTCGAGCCTGCGACTTTTGTCGCAGAAAGCTCGACATAGGGATAGTGGTCTGGCGGCGGCGTTAGCTAACTTCTTAAAAGCTTTATATTTTAGAAGGTGGAAGGTCTGGATGCTTCATACTTTGTATATGGATGCCTCATGTTACGAAGTTTCCGTCAGTCACATGTCCAATGTCCTTGACCTCATTTTCATGGTTCAGTGAGTACTTGGAAAAAAAAGTTAAGATTTTTTGTAATGTTAAATTCTCTCTTATTATAAGTAATAGGATAACTATATTTGGTATGTGCATATCTTGTAAGGTCCTCATGCCCGTCAGACAGTTTTCACTTGACCTCGACCTCATTTCATGGATCAGTGAACAAGGTTAAGTTTTGGTGGTCAAGTCCATATCTCAGATACTATAAGCAATAGGTCTAGTATATTCAGTGTATGGAAGGACTGTAAGGTGTACATGTCCAACTGGCAGGTGTCATCTGACCTTGACCTCATTTTCATGGTTCAGTGGTTACAGTTAAGTTTTTGTGTTTTGGTCTGTTTTTCTTATACTGTATGCAATAGGTCTACTATATTTGGTGTATGGAATGATTGTAAGGTGTACATGTCTAGCTGGCAGGTGTCATCTGACCTTGACCTCATTTTCATGGTTCAGTGGTCAAAGTTAAGTTTTTGAGTTTTGGTCTTTTTTTCTAATACTATATCAATAGTTCAACTATATTTGGTGTTTGGAAATATTTTATGATCTATTTGTCAGTCACACAGGTTTTTTTTTACCTTGACCTCATTTTCAAGGTTCATTGCTCAGTTTTAATTTTTTTTGTTTTGGTCTGTTTTTCTTAAACTATAAGCAATAGGTCAACTATATTTGTTGTATGGAAGAATTGTTAGCTGTACATGCCTGCCTAGCATGGTTCATCTGACCTTGACCTCATTTTCTTGGTTCATTGGTCAATGTTTAGTTTACTTGGTTAATGTTAAGTTTATGTGACAGTTGTAATAAAGCTTTATATTTAGGACTATCAACATAATATCAATGATTAGTAAAGAAGGCGAGACATTTCAGTGTGTGCACTCTTGTTTCATTCATAAATTACTTTATACTTGGAAATATAATTTTGCTTGGAGTTATAGTTTCTAAAAAAAGTATTGTCATTGAAAAAGTTGACATGTTGCAATGTACATTTATTCTACATAGTTCTATGGTACCAAATCAAAAGTTTATATAAAGGAAAGAAGTCAAAGGTTTCCCATCATAGTTTAGTTACATACATTTTTTTTGTACCTGAGGTCGTTGAATATAGATCATTATATAAATAAGGAGATGTGTTATGATTGCCAATGAAACAACTATCATCCATACATTGTACTTACCAGTAACAAACCACATTTGCAAAGTTGAATAAAATACAGTTGATAACATTTACTTATTACTAAAAAGAAAATGCCAAACTATTTTAAACAGTATTTGACTATAAACATAGATAAAAAAAGGTACAAACTGGACATAATGCACTAGTTCATAAACAAGTGAGAACAATCGCCTTCATATAGTGCTCAGAATATGACATTCATAAAACTTGTTCAATATCATTAGAGAACTCTAAATCTTAAATACTGAAAGCCACCTCTGATAAGTACAATGTACTATGCAAGATAATGATATAACTGGACTAAAAATACACACAACCTGTAATTAACTGCCTTTACAGCGCTTTCGCGCTTTGATTATACTTTATGCAATAGGTCTACTATATGTGGTGTATGGAATGATTGTAAGGTGTACATGTCTAGCTGGCTGGTTACATCTGACCTTGACCTCATTTTCATGGTTCAGTGGTCAAAGTTAAGTTTCTGAGTTTTTGTCTTTTTTTCTTATACTATATGCACTAGGTCAACTACATTTGGTATGGAAATATTTTATGATGTTCATGTCAGTCTTGCTGGTTTTATTAGACCTTGACCTCATTTTCACGGTTCATTGCTCAGTGTTTTTAGTTTTTGGGTTTTGGTCTGTTTTTCTTAAACTATAAGCAATAGGTCAACTATATTTGTTGTATGGAAGAATTGTAAGCTGTACATATCTGCGTGGCATGGTTTATCTGACCTTGACTTCATTTTCATGCTCCATTGGTCCATGTTAAGTTATCTTGGTTAGCTCTGTTTCTTAGAAACTATAAGCAATAGGTCAACTGTATTTAGTGTATTGAATGATTGTAAGGTGTACATGTATTTATTGTGTGGTTTATATGACCTTGACCTCATTTTCTTGGATCATGTCAATTTATGTGATTTTTGAAGTAAAGCTTTATATTTAGGACTATCAACATAATATAAATGATTAGTAAAGAAGGCGAGGCATTTCAGCGTGTGCACTCTTGTTATGATACATATTAAAACATTTGTGTGTTCCTCAAAACTTTAGGAGAACCTTTCTTTATAGTGAGCTCCTCCCCCAAATTGCTATGGAAATACAAAAAATACAAAAATGCTTAATGCATATGCCATTAAGAAATCATTGGGTCTAGCTAATTATAAAGAGTAACAAACCTCACTGAAAGTTATAGGTTTGGTTTAAGTAAACTATAACTGTTTCGTCGTTGTATAGGCCCATTTAACACACTCAATGAACTATGAGAAATTGAGGACTGCCCTGCACCCTGCCAACCTTAAAACACATTTGATTGAAACCTTTGTTTTGTTATTTGGTGTCAGCTTTTCCTCAAACCAAAAACTGTAAAGTACCTAGAGTTTCAGATACATATACTGTTCTGGGCTTTATTTTCAATGAATTGCAGTTGTTTTCCTGTACTTATGTTGCTATACAAAACATAAAAAAATTAATTATACCACTCACCAAAAAACATCTGGAAGAGTAGGGGGACTTGTAAAAATATTCATTATTAATTATGTGGAGGGGGCATTGGGGATGTGAACTGACAAAGGGTTCTAATTATATTGTGACAAATTTTTAATCGCTTGGAATGGCATGTGGATAAAAATTTTAAACTATTTTCTATTATTACAAGCCCATTCACTGAATGGGTGGTACACAGCATTCACCTTGTCTGCTTGTCTGTCTATTCATATCTTTTGTCACTTATTTCTTATTTGTATATACCTAACAAGAATAACCAAATTCATCTAAGGTCAACTTTGTCTGAGAGAATATAACCGTAGTTTCTTAATAAAGGTTAAAAAATTAACTTGATATGTTAAAGAAAAAATCATATTACTATTACATTTATTCTTTTCAGGCAACATAATCTTGAACATTATACTGTCTCCATCTATACCACTGAAAAGACAAGGCAAAAACAATGTCAGCATGATATGTGTACCAAATCCTCCAGTTGACAAAAAAGCAGATCCTTCCAAACCTGTTCCTATGTTGATACGGGTAAAAACTTCTGAGGATGCAGATCAATTACTAGAAAAAATGGAAGAATTGAGGAAGAAAGATTGATGAAGAAATTGTACTTAGTTTATTTTGGATATTTTTCTGTCAATGTGTATTGTACAATTGTAGCAATTTTTAGTATGATTACGTTATTTCATTGTCATCAACAAGGGTGTATGTGTTCATCTTAAAGTTCATAAACTAGGACAGTAAAAAAGTTTGTCACTGCATATGAAAGAAGGTATAAAATGTTTTCAGGTTGTATAAAGATTAAAAAGGTCTTTTAGTGTGTCTCTTGTCTATATTTTGAATTGTTTTCTGGTTACGAATACTTAGTATCAATATGTGTACGAAATTGTCTATGTACGGGTTTATATTCGTAAAATTTGAAAATTACAAAATACTTATATTGTAAATTTATAGTATGGCCAGTGTTCTCCCCACAAATTTCAAATAACATCCTTATAAACAGGAATTTTTTAATTTCATCTTCTTTTTTTTTAAGAAATCATTGCATCACAGCCATAACAAATTATTTCAGATCGCATCTCATTCAAGTAATATAGCATCACATTTCCATGATTCTAAAAGGCCCTGGTTAGAACACTGATGACTCAAGAATAAAATCTGTGTTTATTGTCAACCCTAAGAATTTTTTTTTTATTGATGAAAGTTAAGTGATCTTTCAAGTAAGTTAGGTTGGTAAACAATAAAACATTTTCTAGCACCAACGACCAAAATGACAGGATATTCCAATATATTATATGAAATTCAAGTAATCTATGGTTTTACATAATCATATTCTATTAAATCTTTTCCCTAGAACTATGACTTTACTCTAGAAACCATGGAAAGGTAACTGTGACATGACTTTGAAATTTCGACTAACTATAAGAAAAATAGCTTTTAAAAAAAATGCATATTAGAGTAAAAATGCTGGACATTTCTAGCCCAGATTCACAATCACATAACTACTGCATGGTTAGTTTAATTTCATTCATATTTCAGTAACAGTGCCGAAATCATTCAGACAGCTATGCTTCAAAGTCATTTAACTTGGTAGGCCATGTAAAATTAATTAATTGGTACTCTTTACTTGGGTTTTCTAAAAATGAAGAAGGATGGATATTTACGTTGTATATTATAATTATCATGCATGATTTTGCATAATATACTCCTTACTTTAATTGATCCAAACATGTGATGTGCATTTCTTCTTTTTCATACAAAGCAGACCTCATCAGCACTTAATGTAATGCATCAGTTTTATCATAATTCATGTTAATGGCTAATTAACACATTTCATGTCAATTGAATAAAGCCCATTGTGATTTTCTAAATTGAAACTCTTTCAAGGTATACAGATCAATGCTTAAAAGATGTGAAAATAAGAAAAATGCTGTTCCTGTGAGTAGCAATAAAACTTGTGTATTGGTAATTCTTTTCTCTATAAATGTTTAAAACACACCATCCTCATGAATAAAGGTATTTTGAGAACCAAAAATTTATTTTCCATGATCTTCTACAATTTATCCTGATATCCAAATTCTTGATTAGAAATCACATATCTTTAATCAAGTATGTGATATTAATCAATAAAGCCAACAAAATAATGCAATATATCATGTACATAAATTCCCAGCTGCATGTATTATACAGAGGCAAAAATTGTGAGATGTTTATCTTTTATTAGAATGTTGTAAAATTGAAATGAGTGAAGGGTAAAAGAAGTGAAAAAAAACAAGATGTTTGAAAGATCTGTTAAAATTGTTGCTCTGGAGTTTTATGAAGTTTTTGAGCGTTAAAGATTGTTACATCCTGTGAGTGCTTATTATCATTTAAAAAGTGCTTTGTTACATATATTTTTCAATAAAAGTCTTCGATTTGTTTGTTATATTGATAACTATGCAGAAACTTCTCTTTCTCTTCTTATCAGAGTTTAGACGAATACATTATACAGGACAGATGTGAATTGTATTAATATTAGTATCTCTGTGCAGACAAAGTATATTGTTTTACAGTTGCCATAATGGTATGGTCCCTTACTTGCATAATATATGTAATGGACATTTAAAAATGGATTATGAAATTCAAGTTCCCTTCTAGAAAATAATGTCTGGAAAAGTTAGAAAGTTCAAAAGAGGCTATTTCCCATCATACAATATAAGAATATGCGTTATTATCACCAATGAGACAACTTTCCACAAGGGACCATATGACAACAATGTTAGAAACAATAGGTTGCTATGCAGCCTAGACTTGAACAATGAGCAAAACCCATTCTGTATAACAACCTAAACTAGCCAAAAATGACAAAATCTTAAACAATTCAAACTAGAAAACCAATGCCCCTGATTGATGTAAAAAACCAAATATGAGATACAACAACTGATAACCACTGAATTAGAGGCTCCTGACTTGTTACAGACACTTGCATAATGTTGCTGGGTTCAACATTTTTGCATGCCCCAAACCTTGTGTTACATAAAAACAAAAGTTGAAAATAGCTAGATTCATCAGATCGATATAAAGCAAAAAACAAAAACACTACAGACACAAACTGATCTGAGTGTACTCACAGCTACTGAAAGCTAGTTCAAAGCCATTCAAAGCAATACAATTGAGAATGGAAATGGGTAATGTGTCAAAGAGACAACAACCCGACCGAAGAGCAGAAAACGGCCGAAGGCCACCAATGGGTCTTCAACACAGCGAGAATATCCTGCACCGGGAGGCAGGCTTCAGCTGGCCCCTAAACAAAAATGTGTACTAGTTCAGTGAAAATGGCTGTCATACTTAACTCCAAAACATATAAATGAACTACAATTAAAATACATACAAGACTAACAAAGGCCAGAGGCTCCTGACTTGGGACAGGCGCAAAAATGTGGCGGGGTTAAACATGTTTTGTGAGATCTCAACACACCCCCTTTACCTCTAGCCAATGTAGACTAAACAAACACACAGTAAAACTCAGTTTAAAAGAAGTCCGAGTCCGATGTCAGAATAGGTAACAAAACAAACTAAGCAAAATGAAAATGATACATAAATTTACAAAGGACTACTAGCAGTTACTGACATGCCAGCTCCAGACCTCAATTAAACTGATTGCAACACTATTTCTTAATTGGCCAATTGACTGTTCTCATCATGTGATACGGTGGCGGCCATGTCTGCGTTAACAAACTATTAAAAGCTTAATATTTCAGAAGGTAGAAGACCTGGATCCTTTTTACCTTGTATATAGATGCCTTATGTTATGAAGTTTCCATCTGTCATATTTCCATTGTCCTTGACCTCATTTTCATGGTTCAGTGACTACTTGAAAAAAAACTTAAGATTTTTAGTATTCTTAATTTCTCTCTTATTATGAGTAATAGAGCTATATTTGTTATGTGCGTACCTTGCAAGGTCCTCATGCCTGTCAGACAGTTTTGACTTGACCTGGACCTCATTTCATGGATCAGTGAACAATGTTAAGTTTTCGTGGTCAAGTCCATATCTCAGATACCATAAGCAATAGGTCTACTATATTTGGTGTATGGAATGATTATAAGGTGTACATGTCCAACTGGCAGGTGTCATCTGATCTTGACCTCTGTTGTGAAGTCCGCTTATTAGACGTACAGTATAGCGCGCCGCTTGATTGTAACGTCACTATCGTTGACGTACTTCCTTTAGCTTTCAATACATTATCAAACTAGCAAGACGTCTGTTATTTTAGTTCATGCCATTGTACAAAATCTTAGCCACTATACGCAATATTGGTGCCGTGACCAGGATGAAATAATGGAAGCGAAGATGAAAGCCGTTCGAGCGGGACACAAAGGCGCAGTTACGAAACTCCTGAGGAAATTTGAGGACATTCAGCAGAGTTCCGAAGCGGATTACGAGGAAATTTCAACGTTATTAGAAGCTGTCACACAGAAGAAAAGAACTTTAGAGAATATCAACGAGAAGATCTTGGAGCAAACCTCGGATGAAGATGTAGCAGTGGAAATACAGGAATCAGATGGAGTACATGTTCAATTTAGAATATAAACTACGACAAATTGCAAAATTAGCAAAGTCAGTTCAAAATCAGAGTTTACCCGCAAATGAATCAATTTCATTGAATTTGAACCCTCATACCGATAGTTTTATACCGAATACACATTCAGTTCCATCTACATTTATTAGCCAACCCTCAACATCAGCAAACCAACAATATACACATAGCACAAATTCACGCTCAACGTCTAGCACAAATAGCGAGTATCACAAGCTACCGAAGTTAAACTTACCTATATTTACCGGAGATATACTAGACTGGCAATCAATTTGGGACTGCTATGAAACCGCGATCCACACAAATCCTACACTGAGTGATGCACAAAAATTCAACTACTTAAAGTCTCTTTTGCAAAGCGAAGCGTTACAAACTATAGCAGGTTTTTCCATGACGAACACAAATTACGACAAAGCAATGTCATTACTCCAGGAAAGATACGGGCAAACTCATAAAATCGTCCAAACCTACACGCAGGCCTTACTTGATTTACAAGCTCCAATTCATACAATTACTAGCCTCCGTTGTTACTATAATAAGACAGAAACTTATGTAAGAGGTCTCGAGTCACTCGGACAGACAGACGATACGTATGGGTCACTACTAGTCCCTGTTATTCTAAATAAATTACCGGCTGAGATACGTCAACATTTAGCACGAGAACACAGATCCACAAACTGGACACTACATGATTTACGCAAAGCGCTTCTCGACGAACTAAATATTATGGAAGCCAGGAAATTACCAGATAAAGTAGAAAGACCACTCGCTACCGCTACTTTTTAAACTAGTATGAAGTCACGTTCAAACTCAACATTCGGAAAACCCGATAAGTCAGTTTCGCATAAAAAGCTTTACATTAAGTCTTGCATTTTTTGCCATGAAAATGGGCATATAGCCGTTAATTGCACAAAAATCACAACCGTTGATTCACGTACAGCTGTAATTAAGAGAGAGAGGCTTTGTTTTAACTGTCTCGGTCGTCACAAATTAGCCGACTGCAAATCTACAAGCACATGTAAAAAATGCAACAAACGTCATCATACAAGTATATGCTTCCATTTGTACCAAAACTGTTGAATAAGTTGAGATTTTAATCGAGACAATTTATTCAGATTCATGAGTCATCTCAAACGTCGAATGTTCAAAGTCTCTATTATCAGGGTATGGAAGTGTTGTGATCCAACGTCCGTAAAGTAAATGTGATGGCGTTAGCGGTTCATCTAAAGGATCTGACGAGACGTAAGTTAAAGGACGGTCGTTCAGAATAGTTACTTCAGTCACAATTGTCTTAAGAAGTTCTATATTGATAAGGGAACGTCCCAAAACCTTCTTGACACAGTCTTTTGTAATCCATACCAATCTTTCCCAAAAGCCACCGTACCACGGTGCGCGTTTTGGTATAAATGTCCATGTTGTACCATAGTTGTTCAACTTTTCTGTAAGTGACGCTGAACAACTATTTCCTCTTGAAGTGTCAGCAAATAGAGACTTTATAATAGACAATACTTATGATATCAATTGTCCCTCTAGTTCTAGAAACTTAAGCCGTAAAGCTAAAAGTGTTGCCATGGAGAACATTAAGAAATGGACAAACGGAAATAATTCATAATTCAGAGACTGTAAATTCAATTTTATTTAGTTTTTCATAGACTTTAGAGTTTTTCAGTAATTATTCAAGTGTCACATAATATTGTAGTTTTAATATATTTTAATGTTATCTTTTGCGCGCCCCCAGGATGTTGTGAAGTCCGCTTATTAGACGTACAGTATAGCGCGCCGCTTGATTGTAACGTCACTATCGTTGACGTACTTCCTTTAGCTTTCAATACATTATCAAACTAGCAGACGTCTGTTATTTTAGTTCATGCCATTGTACAAAATCTTAACCACTATACGCAATAACCTCATTTTCATGGTTCAGTGGTTAAAGTTAAGTTTTTGTACGACCGCAAAAAATTAAAAACTTTTTGGTCGTATATTGGTATCACGTTGTCGTCGTCGTCGTCGTCAGCGTCGTCCGAAGACACATGGTTTCCGGATAATAACTTTAGTATAAGTTGATAGAAATCAATAAAATTTTAACACAATTTATAACCACTAAAGGAAGGTTGGGATTGATTTTGGGGGTTATGGTCCCAACTGTTTAGGAATTAGGGGCCAAAAAGGGACCCAAATAAGCATTTTTTGTATGCCAAAGCGACATATATGTCGTTTCAGTGTTGATGCCAAAGCGACATATAAGTCGTTTGGGGGTTTGATGCCAAGGCGACATATATGTCGTTTCAGCAATATTACAATAAGTATATATTATAAATCAAAACTTTGCAACCTATACTACACTAAATAATTAATGCGTTATAACATTGTTGACCATCGGTCATCTAAGTGTATTTTGGAGCAATGACGTAATATCCATGACGTCATTGTGACGTTATAAATATGGCACAAGTAAATTGAGTTTTCTTTCTCTGAAAAAAAACCCGTCTTCCAGGGGCAAACGACAACGTTGGTTTTTATATTTGCATGCACGCACATGACACTGATGCTGACGATTTAAAGATCGACATAAGAGCTGGAAACACAAGATAATTGAACAACAAGACCGGGCCGCCCTTTTTTTGGCATTGTAACTTACCAGACTAACATAATATAAAACACTTTATTAACCGCATATCCGTCATATTCGTCAGGCTGTGTGTTGAAAAGTACTTTAGAAAGTTTCGCACATTACGTATGTTCGAATAGTAATGTTTATGTGTTTACCCTCTCAGTCCGAAACGGGAAATCGGTCCACCCATGACAGAATCATGGCCCAAGAGAACGCACAGTTAGGACT